TTTAATTTCTACATGTTTATGCTTGTGAGGTAATAGATCTTTCACTTCTTTGTGTTGATCATCTTTGTAGGCTGCATGTTTAAAACCGCTTCTTGATCATATTTTAGGTTTTAATTATGGCTAGTTTGATAAAAAGCTACCACGGACAGTGTAGAGTTCCCCAGGAATATTCTTATTGCAGGCATCTCTCACTGTCCACCAAAGCTAGTTACTACTCTATCTTCCTTGCCTTTATTTTCCTTGCTTATTCATAGCACAGCATTTATGAACAGCTGATGTCCTTCATAACACTAGCAAAGGACAATAGATGAAGTTCTCAGATTTTCTTGTTTGGCATTGCCCCCTGCCTCCCCTTTTTTTTCAGGTTTCTGTTGTTGATGGAGTAGATGAAAGATTCCTTAGCTAGCTGGCACTGACAAATGGCAAATTTCTTGACCCTGCGTTAACAGAAGTGAGCTGTATAGCTTGTCCTAGGGCTCCTCTTTACTTTCTCTTTCTGAAAATAGAGCAGAAGTCTTGGGATAGACATAGACTTAGTCATGAGTGCTGAAAAAAAGAACAAAGATGTACAACTGGTACGTTTAATGTTTAACCAACTTGGGAAGATAAGCTAATGAGACTCTGCTGTTTTGTGAAGAACAGCATGTGAAGGTTAATATATCCAGGATAAAAGACAGCAAGAGAGAAATAGCGCTAGAAAAAAAAAAAACAACACACATTCCTACATAGGAAATGCATTCCATAATAATGTTAGTTTGGACTGTTTTTATATTTCTGAGATTATAGCTTAATACTGTATTCTTAGATTTTCAGACTTTTTTAAAGAACAGTACTTAGATTTATACAGGATTTGTTTAGATATTTAAAAACAGTAACACTTTCTTTATTAGTCATTTAGTTTTCTTTATAGACAAGAAGATAATCATTATTTTTTACAAGACAACAATTTTAACCTTTCTTAGTAGAACACACAGGCTTGTAGTTTTGTCTTGGAGCAATAATTTAGTGACCTGCACTCTTCAGTTCTCATCTGAGAGTCTCAATCCTTACCCTCATCTCTCATGAAGATATCTCAGCAGCTGAGGTATGATCTCTATTAACTGTATTCATTTACTAGAATATAGATTTTAAATATATATAGATATTAAATATATATATATATATTAAATTTGTAGGAATGTTCATGCTGAGTGCTGTAAGGCCTGAAGAAGCAGGTCTGCACTGTACCTTTTGCTGATAGATGCATGGAAATCAGCTGCACATTAAATCATAGGCTTAAGGATTCCAAGTTCTTTTTGGAGGTGCAAGGTTTCTAACAGTATTGGTAATTTCTTTAAGGGGTTAATAGAAAGCATGGAATTGTTTTTTATGGAGAATTTTCAATCTTGAAAACTACTTGCAAAACGAAATAGGACATATTAATAATTCCATTAACAGTAATTTAGAGAGAATGCCATGATTTATCTGAGAAACACCATTGTTTCAGTACTGTTTCAGTCAATTTTGCACTGAAGTTGGTGCAAGTTTTGCCTGAATAGATTATCTACATCTCTAAGTTTCTGAATTGGCTGTTTTGAAATATTTATGTTAGAATAACTCCTTGTATGGCACTTACATCTGAATTTGTGTCTATATGTGGGCACAAAGCATGACAACTTTCCTAAAATCATGTATTTCAAGAAAATTGAATATGGACAAGTCCCATGTGAAGGACTTCAGGGCTGTGATCTTGGAGAGGCTGTCAATAAGCCTTGCAGAATTAAGACTAATGACTGATTTTGGGTTAAATTATTTTTAAAGTATCTTTCATGTATATACATTTTCTCCTCTGTTATTTGTATATAGCTCAACTCTCAATTTTATAATCACCTGGGAAGGGAGTTGTACATATTCAGCCTGAAGTGTTTTATGTTAGACTTTAATAAACTTGTTTTGTATTTTTCCCTCACCTTGTGCGTGCTATTTATAACTGCAAGGGGAAACAACAAGAGGCGGAGGGAAGCAGTCTAACATAACTACCACTAAAGCACCCTGTCAGTAAGACACAAGGTTGCCCTTGTTGCAGCAAGGATTAGTGCATTTTCTTGGCAACAAAACCACACGATTTTTCTGATAGAAAATATTTTGGATCTGTTCAAACCAAATTAAACAAGAACTTCATTCTAACTGCAATCTCACGTGATCACTCTAACATTAGTACTTTTTTTCTCCCCCACCCTCATTTTGAGGGGTAGGGGATTTTTTTTTCCGAGTGCTTTGGAGGTGTACTTTAACAGCTCAAGGAGATAATCAGTGGATTTATTGATCAGAATTTGTATCTTAATTTATTTTTACTCAATTGTTTAATTTTACAGGAGGTGATAGAGTGGCTAGAGTATGCAGTAAGACTTAGCTGACCTGCACTATACCACTGGCCTGCTGGTTTAGTCATTTTCCTTCCTTTCAGAGTGTGAGACCAACATGCTGCCTTTCTGAAAGGTACTCTGAGTTCTGACAGCTGCAAAAACTTGCTTGCAGAACAGGATTATGCTTGTTTTAGTACTACAACAGCATGGCAAGAATTTCTAGCCTATGTGAATTCTCTCATTCAAGAGAACACAAGGAGGTGTCTTCTAAGATTTTCAAGGTTTGGGTTTCAGAGAAAGGAAAGCAGTGTCTTTGGCATAGGCCTCTTTAAACAATACTTTTTTTGGTATAAGTAGTAGTTGTAGCTTACAGGAATCTGTTTATACAAAATTCAGTAAGAATGACACTGCAGCCCTTTCTTATGATCAATTCTTATTGATCACATCGATAATGCGGAGTGTTCCTGTTGTTAAGTAAAGGTTCACATGGAGTAAAAACATTTGAAAAAATACACGAGCATTTTCGAACTTGATGCCATTATGCTGTTAATTTTGTGTATAACAGCATTGCTATCTTACCATAACTACTTAAAATAAAACACTGCTGTTGGTAGAGTTGAAACTGACTTGATAGCTTTGATTGTTACTGCAGCAGTGTAACAAGATTTAACAAATTTAAGACTTAACTTTCAGGCAATGAAATTGTCCCGTACATGAAGTAAAGGCTAAGGGAAAGACAGATACAGGGAAAAGTGATACCTCAATTTGAATGTTGCAGTGGTCTTTCTGGCAAGAAATTCTCTGATCAGTGAATAAGCACTAGGAATAGTTGCTTTAGAATATGACAGTACAACTGACAATGCTCCAAGGAGGCAACATGCAGAAAAACAACGTTTGCTAATGCAAGCCAATATTACAGCTCATCTACTATATAAAAAAAAAAAAAAATCAATGATGTTAGTATGCAGGTCCCTCTCAAACAGGGACATTCTTTGTACCTTCAACTGCTGTTTTTGTTGTTCTCTTCTTCCTGTGCAATAACAGCTAAAAAACAAGTGTCTGTCTAGGACAGTCTTCTCACACGGTGACCAGAGACCAAATTTGTGCTAACTGAGATGGTCACAGGTTAAGGTGTCCGTATGCAGGCCAGAAAGGTAAATGCATTTCCATTCTCCTGTTCTGCACTTGCTTTTTGGGTATTACATCTGTTAAGCTGTTCTGTGATGAGCACACAGGGGTACTCCTGGTCAGGAGGGTGAAGAAAACTTGCTCAGGTTTTAAACACTGGTGCTAGCAAGCAAGCAGGTTGAGGGAGCATAGACAGAGGTAAGTCCACTGAGCAGGTAGGTTTGGTTTTGAGCAGGTAGGTTTGTTTTACTACACAGGAGCTGATTGACAAGGAGGTCTAAGTCCTCTGCTGACACTAAACAATTTTTGGACCAACAAAGCCCAGCTAATTTATGTTCTAAATATTAAAACAAAAAACAAATAGCTACCGATACCACCTTGGTTGTTTCAGATTGATAAAGCGTATCCATACACCTCTCTGTTTCTACACTACCACTGTGGTAATACACATCACTGCTTTTTAAGTACACTATTGAAATTACTTTCCTATCTTTTTCTTTTGACTTCCATTTTACAGGTCTTTTGCCTGTGTGCACATGCGTTTACAGATTATTTTGTTACATATAGTTCACATTAGTTTGTGTGTTTTTTTTGTTTTTGTTTTTTTTTTTTAAATAAATCAGGCACATTTAGATCTGCAGAAAATTGCATTTGTGAAAACCTTTGAGCAAACCTGTCATATTTGGGTCATTTTTTTGGTTCAGACTTGACAAGATTTGTGCTCTTACAGGTATAAGCAGAATGGATGGAAAAAGGAAACAATCTGAGTGATTCCCAAAATTTTAAGCAGCTTGTATCCAAAGCATTAAACAAATTTTAACTACCTTTATATGCATATGTTGTGTTATTTATATGTCAGAATTGCCACAGCTATAATGAGGGAAGTGCTTTCAGTTTAAGAGACAGGAAGAAATAACACCAAGTTCAGTGGTGTTTTTCATTTGGAAGTTAAGAACTACATACAGCAAGTTAATCAAAATGCTATTTATATATCTGTGAACTAGGTTTACTAGCTTTTAAATTCATGCATTCTTGTGGCTAAGAGCTTAAATTCATTTAACCTGGTTTAAAAAAAAAAAAGTACTCCTGGATAAAGAACACAAGCACGCCATTTTTAAGTAAAAGGAGAGCGTACAGAGCAGTGGCAACAAATGCATTTACTCCAGCCTCTTTTAGCTTCAATAGGAATCTTGTTCTACCACATATCTGATTTGCTCTCAAGCAAAGCTGCTGCCCAGAGGCAGTCCTAGGTGGAAGCTTTTATCAGTTCTGTCTGCCTGGCTGGCCTCCAGCCTGCAGAGACAAAACAACACAACCTGAAGGCTCTGCCTGCTACAGGGAAGACTGACTGCAGCCCAGGAAGGGCAATGAAACTACATCTAACTACAGTAAGGCAAGGGAAGCATGGAATCACAGAACCATTAAGGTTGGAAAAGACCTCCAACCATCCCTCTACCACCAGTATCACCCACAAAGCCATGTCCCTACAGGAGATGCATGCGCAACAGAAATGACTAGCAGAATTAATGCATTTTCATATTAATAGGCTTTTAATAGATTGGGCATTATTTAGTAACAAATTTTATGGCTACTGGTTCAACATCTCATCTCTAATACCACTTCCAACTGTTTTTATACTCCTGCTAGACTAGAGACCCTGAAGAAACAACCTGCAGTAAGTATGATGTCATCCATTTCACTAGAAGCCAGGTGGAAAAACCTCAAGCATTTATGGCTTCAGGCTATTCCTACCTTACAAGTATTCCGAAACAGCTCCAACTGCCAGGCTGGCGTTAGCAGCTTTGTTCATTACCTCCCCGTAACTGGGTGTCCAGTAGTAATGCTTCTTCAGGCCGTGGGAGAGCTCTGCAAGGTAAACGTGCCCATCCACTTCATAGGGTTCCACATCTGTACAATCAGGTTTCAAGCGGCCAGTCTGGATTAATTCTGAAAATGCCTGTCATTAATAAAAAACAAAAATCTGACATATAATACAATACTTTGGCTGCAAGGAAGGATCTAGAAAATATAACACAATCGGCAAGTACTTGGTCATTTCAGTATGCTGATGACAGGTGACTTGCTACAGTAGCACCGTATTATAAGTATTTTTTTTAAGAAGTAAATCAAGTGTCTTGATTTACAAGTGCTGTGGTCTTTTAGTGACTGTGAAAACCAGTTTAGAAAAAAAGAAAACCCTCAGAAGAGTTCAGAAGCAACCACTTACCATACAGGTGGCGTCATCAAGTTTGTTCCCCCAGATATAAATGTAGGAAAGTTCCGTGTTTGTTTTCATTGCTTGTGAAAGAGCTACGAGCCCTTTGCCACTTATATTGTTGCTTACTACTGATAACCTAATAAACAGAGAAAGTAGTTATGCAAAGGTGCCACACCACTCCATTCCTATATCTTAGTTAAAAATATTTTTTTTACTGAGTTATATTATTATAGATTTTATATAGTTATATGGGTATTGAAATTGCATACTTGATATTAATAAAATGCAGTGAGATATTTGTGTTAGGTCCAGTGCTATTATAAAACCTTCTTCAGGTTGCTAGAGGCAGCTTGGGCCATGGAATTGTGCTATTTCTCAAGGCACTTCTGTGACTTGCGCAGCCAGGTTGCTCACTTCAGTTCTCCAGTGTCAGTGACTTATTGTGCGGTGGCCACATCTCATCTGTAGCCTGCTTTGAAGCCCAGGCCTTGGCACGGAGCCAGGCTAAGCTTTGATCTTTGCAGACTGGCAGTTATTTTTATGTTAGCAAACCTGGAAGGCTTTCAGAGGCACCTAGCAGCCACCACCTCCTCAGTCTGCTACTTAAAACTAATGGCTTCAGGTAACACCTTTGATCAGCTTTTACATCCTGCCGGCAAGGTTTAATGCGGGCTACAAAATACACCCTGATGGAGAGATTACAGCTCTTTTGGGTTCACCCGGAAGCTAACTTCAACAGAGGATTTTCTTATCTGTTGAAGATCAGAATCAACAAATATAGAGCCTTATCCCTGCACGGAATCTGATTATCTGAAAATTCTGAAGCCCTACAGATGCTGTTGTGTTTACGCTTGCACACCACAGGGACCTATGCAAGAACAAAGCAGATCCCATAGCCTCCCTCATCCCCTTACAATGACTAGAAGCTGTGAATCACATGCCGGATGCTGAGACCCTCTACAAAACCCATCTAAGCTTCAACCCAAAACCAAAGATAGAAGAACAAGCATGTATCAGGCTACGTAGCATTGGACCCAAGATGAACAAAACAAGTACAGGCACAGAAGGCAAACATGAAGTGTCAGCACTTTGGCCTGCATGGCATTTCTTGGCCTGGCATTTTACTCCTATCATTCATGTGAAGCTACAGGGGGCTTCGTTCAGTTATCCAAACACAAGCATCTCGTGCCATGTAGGACACATCAGTATGCCTTGCCCAGCCTCCAGCTGCAGGTCTCCGAAAGAACCCGTGTGGCTTCCCTGCAGCATCCTACAGATCTCTCACAGGCCTCAGGGCACCTCAAATGGTCGTGACACCTATGCTTAGGCAAATGAATCCCACACAATCTGGTGCTCACATTTTTTCCTTCTCAGATGGACCAAAAGATTTGGAACTTCCTGACTTTTCTGTTTTGACTGGTAGCATAAAAACACAAAATTTTCTTGTCAGTTCAGCCACTGCAAAGACTGAGCTCCTTTTACCCTGAGTGGTTATGCCTGCAGCCCCTGGGGGAAGTTACGTGAATACTAACGCCTGAAGAGTCCTGTTGTGCAAAGCCAAAGCTTCACTCAAGTAGATGGCTCCGTCATCTTCTATTCGGTTTGAGTTAAGATCTAGTATTTCCAGGGTTTGGTTCCGTTTTAGTAGTTCTCCCAAAAATTTCACATCATCACGAGTTATCCTATTACTGAAAGAGATTATGTATATTTATATTTTTAAAAGAACACTAAGAAAATGAGTGTCTAATGTTAGTCAAGGCTATGTCATGTAGTAAAACTTACCAGCTAAGATCAAGGTATCTCAGACTGCAGTTTTCATACAATGCCTCACACAGCCGCTCTACACCAAATCTTTTAATTTCGTGCTTGCACAAATGTAGTTCCACAAGAGAAGAGTTATTTTTCAACATCGAAGCTACATGGACTGTGGTCTCTTCCTAGAAATACACACCAAGTTCTATTAAACTCTATTTTAGAATAAGATGTGGTCTTGCTTCAGTAAGAGAGATGCACAGCAGCAAAACTTTTTCCATCAGTAGCATTCTATTTTGTATATTACAACTTCATATTGAAAATAGCAAGGAAACAATGTATTACAAGAACTCAAAAAAGATGAAAAAATAACAAAAGTATTTGCAGACTTACAGTACTATATATACATCCTTACAACTATAATGATTCAAACATTGATGCCCCTGATATCTGATCAATTTCCCCCCCAGACACTGCTTTTAAAAAACTATGTTTGAGTCAGCCCTCACTAACATCAAAAACATTTTGTCATGACACTCTTATTATTATTTATGGAAAGACACAGAATTGCTAAGGGGAAAGATATGCCCTGTCACTGTAAGGCACAGTAAATTTATTTCGAAATTGTCACATTTAGTTACAAAAGCAACCGAGTGAATTCTCTGAGTCAAAAATAAGGGAGCAATCCAGAGGCCTCAGAAGATGATGGGGTTGAAGGTTGGAACAATGGCAAATAGGAACTCTCACAGATGCAGACTAGGCCTTTACTTTCAATAGTTTAAATTTATTTGTAAGTCTGTACTTGGGCAGATCAAACCCCTTACCCCCCTCTACTTCTTAGTAGAAAAGAAATAACTATAATCTCTTCAAACTTTTTAAATCACCTTTGGGATATGAGAAGATCTGGCTATCGTGGCAGTTTAGTTACATTATCTTGCCATCAGGAAAATGGGATACACATCACAGGCACCTGAAAACTGCTGCCAGCCTGGCAGAACCAGCTCTGTGGCCAAGACTTAGCAGGACCAGCAGCCATTCACAGCAGTTGCATGCCTGCAGGTGAAAGCCTACAAGGATGCAACAGAAGCCGCATGCCTGCAGGTGAAAGCCCACACCTCTGTGCACAAGTACCCATCCAGTGGCCTGTGGTGCTGCCCCCAGCAAACACTGCTTTACTGATTCTCTTTTCAGCACCCAATTGTTTTGGCAGGTCTGTGTCTTTGTTTTGGATCGCAGATGCATCATAGGTTTTACATTGAGGTTCATTCACTTGTTAAATTCAAGCTTCAAGTTCACATAGTGAAACAAGGAAACCACACAGCGCAGTGAATGTGGCATATTGTTAAAGTATGCCTTTCTTCCTTAGGCTGCAGCCTCTGGCAATTGCCCATGTATCACACTGCTCAGATAAAAAGCAGCCTTTTGTTCTTCCCCTTAGATTCTGCTAAACAGCTTTTATCTCTTCGGTTTGCTGAATGATGCATAAAACTCTCCATGCACTGGCAGCGGAAGGAATACCCAGTTCAGTAGTACCGAGTCATCTCCATCAGCCCTTTGTTTAACAAAGGCGTACATACCAAGAAAGACATTTAAGATGAAAAAAAAAATTAGCCTCCTAGTTAAACAAGGGTGGCTTGTGAGGGCACAAAACTTGTGGCAGAAAAAAATAATTAAAAAAAATAAATGTAGATTTTCATTAACTTATTACATCACTTTGTAAGAAAACCCAGAGTCCCGTAGTCTAGATTTCCATAAATACATCAGCATTGACTTTACTTATGCTTCTCTCTGACTGAGCTGGCACTGCAGTCTACCAACATACCTCTTGGCTGTATAGTAAAGGACGATTTAGGTTTATCGCTTTGACTGATTTGTTCTGAGTCAGGGCTGTTGCTATTGCTATCAGACACTGCGTACCCTGCAAATGAAAAAAAAAAAAACAACCTTTAGATAAACCTGTCCGATGTATAGATCAAGCTACTACATTACCATGACTTATTAAAATTGATTGTCAGAAGATCAAAAACACCGAATGGGCTCTGCTTGGAAATACTGTTATTTCTGCCTCCCTGTACCTTGGAGAAATGTAAGTGCTGTAGGCGAGTGCTTACAGGCACTGATGCCAACTCCCCATGGAATAACAGAATGGAATTAAACTAAGAACTACAAATGACCAGGAAATTTGGCAAGTCAGAAAATAAAAAGCAAGAATAATGCATCTCAGCGAGATCTCTATGTAATTAATCCCGTACTTCATTTTTCCCCAATTTATGAAGCAAAATATAGCTTGTGTGTGTTCCCCAAGGTCTTCAGTAAAAGTCTTAGCTAACATTTATCCACTAGATAAATGCATGCTAGAAGTGAATTACTGTGGTATAGAGCAGTCAGAGTCTAGTATACAGGCCAATGTGGATTTCTGTATTTCCTTGGTTTGGTCACTACCTTACATTTCTGCTCCTTTCCAATTAGGCTGGTCTACACCTGAAGCTATTTCATTTTAAAACAACTCCGTCAGCTTCCTACCAAGCATAAACATACTAAGTGTTTAAATAAATCTTACTCCAGCAACACTTTCCTTGTTTATGTATTCATAACCTCCACAGTTTCTGGAAGGTATTCCCCCTTCTAGTGTGGGAGCAATTGCTGCAATTCCAGGAAACAAACACAATAAAGTTTTGCTTCTGACCTCCAGGTGACAGCCACAACTGTTACGTTACAGTGCAGCTTACTCTGTATGCCCAACCTACACTTAGCCTGAGAAGTGAGCAGCTTTAACAGAAGGCTGAGAGCAGCCCATCTCATTTTCACTTCTAGCTTGGCCAGAGCATTCTCCTACTAGCAGGGACACAGCACCAAATTCTCCTAGGCAGGGAGAAGAACCATGGCCATCTTGCAGCCCCGCTACCTCACAAGGACACACCACCTGGAGGAGGTTCACAGCTCCACTTGCTACCTGCTGCTGTAACTCCACAGGTGTTTAAAGCCATCCATGGTTTTTACTGGCTAGAGCAGGAAGCTCTCTGTGTAGTGCTTTGACCTGTCCCTACCTTCCTGAATTTCCCAGTGCAGTTTGAGGGAGCCTCAGCACTCACCTAGGAGGCAGCAAGTTACCTGAGATCAAATTAGGGGCCTTCCTATTCAATTCAGCACTGCCATGCCTAAGTCCTTTTTGAGTTGAGCTCTAACAGGAGCAACAGAGCTATGGAAAGGGTGGCTTTCGGGCTTTATAGCACTGCACACTTTAGAAGAACCCCCTTCATCATTGATCACACAGGATTTAGACAGCGTAACAAACAAACAATGCTGGAATATGTAAACAATGCTGGAATATGTAAACACCAAGCACCTGAATTCCCAGGGACAGTGACTCGAATATATCACTGGTTGTGACTTCAGGGCTTTATGCAACACACCTTCCTAAGCACGAATTGCATTGTTATATGTTGTGTTACCTCCAGCCACCACAAAATGCAAACTCAATGGCAACAGAGGGCACTTCCTTTAAGCAAGCACTACAGGATCTTTGTAACACTGACACATACGATGACTTTGTTAACTGCTGATAATTTTACTGGTTTACTTACCAGATCACAGTCTCCAAGATCTAACTTCTCTAAGGTGGAATTAATTTGTAGCATCAAAGCAAAGTACATTCCACCTTGGTTTCCTATTTTGTTTCCAGTCATTCTCAAATATACAAGGGCTTCATTCCTCTAGACAAAAAAAAAAAAAAAAAAAAAAAAAAATTCTTTTCAAATGAGAAGAATAACACCTGAGCAACTGTCCTTTTTCCTGTGAATTCTGCTAGTTGCCACACAGACAAAACATCCCTCTAGAATTGTGCCCAAGTGATAACACTGACTAAGCAGTTGACGCAAGCTTTCCACAGCAGAAGCACATCAAGAGTCTGGAAGCAAAGCTTAATTAATTGAAAACTTGTTTCTCCCAAGTAAGCTCACAAGCTGCACACTCATGAAAATAATCCAGGCAGATATTTCTGCATACATTGGCAAATGAAATGCAAGTTATACCAAAACTCACTTAAACAAGAATACAACGTGCCTTTAAGAAAGCAGAAGATTGCTTGTGTTTCTCAGAGGCTTTGAAATCAAAGCCCAGCAAAGACAATCAATTTCAGTAAGACTTTTTTACACAGTCAAATCAATGCATCAGTCCTTGCAGGAAAGTTCTGATCAGAGGTTGAGAGAAGTCAGCGGCTCTCCCCCACTTTCCATAGAATTTCGATGGATACAAAACACCTTTTAAATGGATGAAGTCCTAAGTGCAATGCAGAGCGGTTTTCTATTTTTAATTCCTCAGTATCACTGTACGCTTTACCAGAGGTTATAATTAAGTAAGAGATTACAAAACAAGTAGTTCCGTGAGCACAAGTTATAACAAAGCCTGGTTTCATATGGCTTTTACATCTTCCACATGTCCCTGGTCCCCTTTCCCCCAGTGCAGTGCCTCCCTACAGCATCTCCTTCCTTTTTCCTCTCCCTTCACCCATGGGGAGCCCCAGTCAGGTCCTGCCACCTGCCTGCAGGACAAGCTCAGCAAATGCTGCTGTGGGGCTGCACAAATAGCTTTGGGGGATGCTGGCAAGCCCGATGTTGTACAGCTCTACCGTACAACCTTAGTGTTGTGGAGGCCTCCCAGATTTAGTTGAAATTAGTTCAAAGACTATGAAGGAGGAAGAAAGAGCCCATGAGAGCCTTGTTTCATAAACACGAGTCGTACATGCAAGCCTCACTTCCTTAGGAAACCACGTTAAAAACAACTAACATGTTTTTGTGCTGTTGCTGTGAGGCAAAACTTTGAAAATATGTCTCAGACATCTTGATTTGAGACAAGCATTGACATCAAGGTACAGGCAAACTTAATACAAAAATAATTAAAAAAAAAAAAAGCTCAAAGGAAAATATTGATGGCATTATACAACTTGGAGCATAGCACACCATTTTTCACACAAAAATCCAGAGCAATAGTTGTGATAATTAAGTATTAATGGCAGCACAGCGCAACTTTCTCTTGCATGAAATCTGATTTCTGAAGGCTGCCTTGGGAAAACAAGCAATCCCTGTGTTACAGCAAAATGCTGAATGGGCTGAAGACAGAGGGCCCTTTCAGCCAACTTTGATGTTGGCAGGACAACTAGTACCGTTCATCAAAAGCAAGAAAATATCAAAGTGGATGCCAACGTCTAAAATCTCTCAGACTAATACTCACATGGAGGGCTTTCGCTATCAGCTCTGCTCCACTTGTGCCAATATCATTAAACATCAGGTTAAGGTACCGCAGAGTTGAGTTTTCCTTAGGAACAAATACAGCAGAAAGCAATGAGACTTCTTTTCTAGAGCATGCCTGAACTTTTCAAAAAAGGAGATGTGTCATACACATACCTACAACCTCCGTCCTGCACTTTATAGACAGAACCTGATTTGGAGAAGTGGTTTGAGAATGCTAAAGTGCATCAAATGAGGGAGAGAGAAAAACAAGCAGTGTGTAAATCCTCATGGGGCTTACAATAGCCACCTAGGAACCCGTATGACCAAACAAGGCAGGTGGTTAAGCTCACATGTAGACCTCCAGGTACTTTGTGAACTTGAAGGCACTCCCCTGAGCTCTAGAAATACAGGCACAGAGTGGAAACTCACCACTTTCAGTCTGTATTTCAAGTGCTAACAATGACGGAAAGGAAGTGTTAAAGGTTCCTATGTTTAGAACCACAGAAAGGCTAATAGAAAGGATAAAGTATCTGAAACAAAGTCCCTGGCACACTTGACACTACTATTACATCCTTTGTTTAATTGAATGTAAGCCTAAAAGCCTTCTGGTTTATTCCACCATTCCTTCTTCACGACACCCTAGATAAATATCAAACTCTTTTGCTCTCAGAAATTAAAAATCTCCCCCAGAGAATGCAATCTGAGATTCAAGTGGGATGGATTTGGATACAAACGTCAAAATCAGTGGAATTCTGCCAAACCAATGCATTCTTGTCTCAAATACATCACAGAAATATTAACATAGCCAAATAAATCATATTGCTGAAACATAAACATCATTTTGGCACCTGGAGGAGTGTTGCCATGTGCTTTGCTCCAACATCAGTCAATACATTATACCTAAGATCCAAACCTGAAAAAGATGAAGAATGAGACAAATGTATACCTACAATTAATTGATCTATGAACAAAAAGAAACAAAGATGAACTAAGGCTGAAGTCAAGACTGCTTATGTTTTATGTTTCTTATTTTTTTATATGATGTTTAACTGCCCATTGATGTTGAACCACCACAATATTAGCACATCAAACACAGAAAGAAAAAACTCACCTGTGACAAATATAGAGCTGTGTAAGACAAAGGCAAGAACTTGAAGATCTTCATCTGTAACTCTCTGCACAGGCACTAAATGATTATTTCCAGCTATTTTTAATGTGATCCCTTTTATCTGTTTCCTGTAACACAAAAATGTAAGAACATCGTGAGAGGGGAAGTGATACAGAAAAATGAATTCTCTCTCCATATAAGAAGTGTATCTATGTGCGACCTTACTTGTGCTCTTGCTGCTGTAGCTAACTGTGGTAATGCCATAACAGACAGTATGATTCACCCTGTACCTAAGCTCTATCCATTTTGATACTCTCAAGACACTGCATTGCTGCAAGACCACACATACACAGAGAGCAGGAAACAGCAAGATGAGGGGAGGGCAAATGAAAATAAAGAAACTGTCCTGGAGGTTACCTTATCATCTCCTTGCTACCTTTCTTTTATCTACTCTATCCCACCCCCAAAATAAAAAGCTAACACAAACCACTACCTTACCCTGTCTTCTCTTGGGATCTCTCTCCAAACGATAATTAATCCTGCTCCTAGGATCACCCATGAAAGGAAGCCCTATTTTGTCATGCAAGGAGAGACACTTTGGGTGGTTAATACCTTGTCAGGACTCAGAGACAGTTCAGGAAAGCATTACCAGCTGGAAGCTAACTGGATGCAGCTGAGGCTTTTTAAACAGGAGCAAGACGCAATGGAGTTAGAATGACTACAGACACTGGGTTTGGCTTCTTTAAGGGATGTAAAGTCACCATTCTGTACCTTTTTCACCTTTGATTTTACTGCTTGTAAAGCTGTCCAGAAGGGATATACAGCTACAAACTTCTGAAATATGATTTCAAGATGAGTCAAACCAAAACTTCTGCAGTAAATGCTAAGCGTGATCTGTGTTTAAGCCTGAAACTGCATAAACTTTCTCACTGTTCAATTCCTTGTCCCGCTTCTTGTTTAAGGAGTTCAGAAGAATCTGAAAAATGCTGTTTGTTGTTTCCTTACATGTTATCACTTTTATCAGCTTCTTGAAGCACACGAGCAATGAAAGGGTTTTCAGGTTGGCTCAGGTTTTGGCAAGCCTGCAGATACTGCTGGTGAAGGTCTGGAAGAACTGACATGACAGTGCTTGAAAATAAAACAAACTGTTATTGCATCGTTACAGCAGCCTAGCAACATCTCCATGGACGCAAGTTCTGTTGTGCTGGGAGATATATAACAATAAAAATGGGCTTGGGCTGAAAAGGGTTACCATTATTCAAATGTTATACAGGAATAACAGATAGATACAGACGGAGGGGGGAAAAAAGGAAAAAAAATGTGGAATTGTGTATATATTCCTGATCTGCCACCACAGAGGATCTGAACCTTTAGACATAATATTCATATAGATAGATCCCTTCTCCTTGTAAAAAGGACTGTTTCCTGCCGTTTGTGATTAAATCTAGTCCACCGTGTTGCAGTTACCTGAGACAATCAGCGCAAAAGAGGACTGAATGTGGGAAGCTTTGGGAGGAGTCTCAGCCTCAGTGAGCGCAGCAAAGCTGCAAGGCCCCGAGCAAACTGCCCTCCTGCCCCCAGTGTCTTGGGATCTGGATACAAAAGCTGCAGCTTTGAAAGGGGCCTGGGGTGCATGTGGCAGCTACAGGAGGCACCTTTCGGCTCGGGTGTGCCACCTGAACAGCAGGCTGGCACCGAGCACCACAGCAAGCACATCCCCATGGCCGCTGCTTCCCAGGGCCCGCCATTGCTCCCGGCTCCTCAGCACCCTCCCCGTGCACACCCGTGCCGTGGGCTGGGCCCGTTACCACACAGCTGATATCCAAGGGAGCGTCCGTGCCCGCTTTTCGGGGGGCAGCCTCAGCCTGCCCGTGGGTGAGAGGTGCAGGAGGAGGCCGCAGCCTCTGGTGTCCCCTCAGGGCTCTGGCAGCAGTCCCAGCCCAGCAGGGAGAGGTCTGAAGGCCAGGCAGGGGCAGCGTCACCGTCGCACACTGCCCGTCACACCGGGCTCACTTATCCCCAGAATATGTTAGTCAGTGGCATGCCTGTGTCCTCTGAGGAGCCTTGGCACGAGTTAGCGTAGCTATGGGGATTAGCAGTTACTTGGGAGGTGCCCCAGCCCCTCCTTTCCACTGAGGAGATCCTTCCTCTGACCCCCATAAAACCCAGGGCTGGGCTGGGATCACGCTCCACACAAGATGCAGGGCTCACTCCAGAATGCTCAATTCAGAACTAATAAAAAAGAAAATGCCCTTATACCATGGCTGCGTGAGACTGCAGAGCTTAGCGTGGGTCTCCCCCACCTCGTTGTTTCAGTTCTTTCTCCTTGTTCTGGTGACCTGGGGAAAGCACCTGGGGGAACGTGAAGGGCCTCAGGTAGAAGGTGACTGACGGCTGCCTCCTGACTTCAGCCTTTCCCTCCTCTCTTTCAGCTTGTCTTAAATGTCAGCCAAAAGGTGTCCTCCACCCACTCCTGTAGACACAGTCAGCCAGGTGGTTGCTCCTTTCCACCTCCTTACTCTTTCACAGTCCAAATACTGCAATTTAAAGGTTATCAGATAGCAGGCTTACCGGTGTCTCTCCAGCTCAGAAACTACCGAGTGTTATAAAAGAAGGTACCACCTTTTTATAGGAAGGCTCTTGTCAGCTTTACAGTCAGCATAGCTGAAGACAGAACTCAGCACTGTTAAATTAAGAACCAAGGAAGATGCTTCTTCCAGCCCCACTGACTTCACAAAGGTCACCCTCTGATCCCCCTGTTGGGGCACGTCGGGACCAAGGGTTCCAAGTCACAGTCCTGCTGTACACACATCCCCTCCATATCAAGGCATGGAAGCAGGTTTTTTTGGAGTGGTACAGCCATGATCAGAACCTGTCCCTAAATGCTAAATTCTTCCAGTCTTTATTTAGTGCAAGAAGGTGTTTGAGTACTGCTGATTTGTTTGTTTTTTTTTTTTCTCTTCTGAAATTAAAAATAAGGAGCACAGATGGTTGAGTCTCAGGAGAGCGTGGATGCCAGCACAAGGGACATTCATTACCCTAAAGATGAACCTGTCTGCTCTGAGGATGACCTTGTTCAGACTGCACAAGAAATAACAGAGAATGAAGCTCCGGAGAACGAAGCTCCAGAGAATGAAGCTCTGGAGAATGAAGCTCTGGAGAATGAAGCTCCGGAGAACAAAGCTCTTTTTCCCCCATACATCACAGACAGGATATTTTTTATTGATTTGTCCAATAAGCAACTGCAAACCATTTCACCAGAGGTCTTCAGTCTAGAGCGTCTGGAGGAGCTGCATGTAGAAAAGAACCTAATTGTGAGCATCCCCAAAGCCATAAATCGCCTGAGGAACATGAAAGTCCTCTACTTGAATCAGAATCACATACAGGACATATGCGAAGAACTGGGGGAGCTGAAACGTCTTCTGAGCTTAGATTTAAGTAACAATCCCCTCTCTTACAGTTCACTGCTGGTTATCAGCAACTTGCAGTCCCTTCGTCAGCTCAGGCTCTACAAAACAAACTTGCGGGAAATCCCAGTGCAGATCTGCAACTACCTCCACCATGTTGAACTGCTTGGCCTTTCTGATAACAACCTACGGCGTCTGCCTAAAGAAATAGCGAACCTGACAAAACTCAAGGAAATTTACCTCAAAAAAAATAGATTCAAAATTTTCCCTGTTGAGGTTTGTCAGATTGCTAACTTAGAAATAATAGATCTGGAAGAAAATCTAATCAGTCTCATCCCGCAAGAGGTAGGTTTGTTGACAAACTTAGTTAAGCTATTTTTAGCTTTTAATAAGTTATCCTCCATTCCTCCTGCACTGCAATACTGCCAGAAGTTGGCTGTGCTGGATCTGTCTTACAATCTCCTGCGCAAGCTTCCCCGAAGTTTGAAGAAGCTCACAGAAATGGTAGATCTCAAATTGTCTGGTAACAGCCTGAAGAAGTTCCCATACCAGACGCGCTTCTGGACATCGCTTTCCCGTGTTTATCTGAAGAACACTGGACTGCACAAAGTACCCATCTCCTTCACCAGATTAACCAGTGTCAGGGTACTAGATCTGACTGAAAATTGCTTTGATGAAATTCCTAAAGGAATATGCACTATGAAAAGCCTGGAAGTATTGGCTCTGGATGACAATCAAATACAGGAGGTATTTGCCTTTGTTTCTGTTTTTATTTTATTGAGACCCCCCATTTTGCAAAGTCTAAGTTCTTCATTTCAGCTGAGCCCCACCTTTCTCTACTAAAGTGAGATGTGTTCCACCTGGCACACACCTGAGCGTAGGTAACTCATTATTACTGACATCCGAGTATTCAGACAGGGAAAGAGAAGCAAGAATGTAGAAGCACTGACCTTTGTGTGGAATAGTAAAGATGAAATAGTGACTAGAGGGAAGGGACTGCTTCAGGTTTTTTGCATCTTTTTTCTGCACATATGGGAAAATAAAGATCTGCACTTGTGTAGAATCAAAGCATCACAAACTGAGCCAGAGCAGAGGGCAACTTTAAGATGGATGTGATATTGTTTATGCCTTTAACATCATTAACATTTGCCGTTCATTTGATAATGAGCAGTTCCATACTCTAAATTGTGCTATTATAAGCATGCTTGGTTTTAGATCTGAGAATACACCTCCCTTTTTTAAGTAAATGCAACTCCTTTTTCCAATGAGATTTCTATCAGTGCAATTTTCTTCTTTTGGGTTACATTTACAGAAGTAGTAATTCATGCAAAAGAATCGCTTTCAGAGTTGATCCATTTAATGACTCTCCCCTGCACTGAGCATACAAAAGGAGGTGAAGAAGCAGACAAATGTTTCTGCTAAGAAGAAAATCAACCCCATAAGAAATCTCTACAGCAGAGGAAATAATCAACAGTAGTGCAGCCCCACAACTTTTTCCTAGAAATTTTCCCCTAAAAATAAAATCCCTAAGACTACTGCATAAGTGACTTAACGTATCCTTTTTTTTTTTTTTTTTTTTTTTTTTTGACAACTGTCTAGATACCAGTGGAAATACAAGAATTGACAAATTTAAAATGCCTTAGCCTGTCTGAAAACCAGTTCAGTATCTTTCCAATGGAAATCTTTCTCCTGGAATCATTAGAGAGGTTATACCTGGGACAAAATAAAGGAATTAAGTTCACAAGTCTGCCAGGAGACATCATCAAATTGCAGGTAGGAGCAACAGAAGGGGAAAGATCTTTCGTTGCTGTGGCCTGGCACTTTTGTGGGCTTCAGCTGCTCCCAAATGCAGGACTGAAAGTTCTCCTGATCTCTTTAGGTACATGGTACAGAATCAGGCCAGGACTCTTAAAATAGGAATATCAATACTCAGTGTTTAAAACTCATGCACTCTCTCTCTCTATCTGGTAGTTATCCCAATAGTGTCTAAGCTTTTAAACCTCACTTCTGCACTTATTGATGTTCTCTGCATATTAATTATAAAGCAAGTTAAGGAAAAAATCCTTCAGTTCTGAAAAATTATATGCATTTATTTTCCAGAATCTGAAAGAACTGTATATGGAGAATAACTATCTGGAATACCTGCCCCCAGAGGTCGGCTCATTGACCCACTTGAAAATACTTGACTGTCACAACAACCTCCTTAAGGAGCTCCCAGAGTCTGTATGCCAGCTACAAGGTGAAAAATAGTCTTTGTGTTTGTGGCCCTAATGACACAGATACCAGTAAGCATCCTGGGGTTAGGAGGGAGAGGAGGAACACAGTGCATTGTGCAGTGCTCGTCCAGTAATTGTAAGGGCCAAAACGGACAGAGGCTAAGAGGTGGGAGGGTGAGGGAAGTGCTGTGCCCAAGCCAAGTGGACAGGAGGTCCTTCCTGGTGACCCTCCCCAACCCCAGGAGCCCAGGGACAGGGTGTCTCCAAGCTCCAAGCAGACCTCAGATGGGAGAAGACCTGATGGGTCAGCACCAGTGACCCCAGGGCAGTGGTGAGGTACCTGCTTTCTGGGGTCACTCCCCAGCCCAGTCTTCCCTACTTCCCCAGTTCACTAACACTGCTGGTGCACCACTTAGCAGGACTTCTGAAAGCTGGATTTGGCCACCAGCCTGCCAGGTGAAAGTCTTCACCCAGCCAAGTTCATGCATTGCTAGGAGAGCCACAGTCCCATCCCTCCACTCTTGGAGAGGCACTCTGAATTTTCAATACACAAACTCTTACCCTACACAGACTGAATTGTTCGGGCCTCACCAATATGCTGTTCACAGGGAGCAGGCAGCAATTCCTGCCTTCCACGTCATTCCTGTTCTTTGTGTTGCAGCTCTCTGCTTTTGTGCATTCAGGTTTGCAGAAACTGCTCCTTCAGGACAATCAGCTGTCCCAGCTGCCCGAGGATTTGGCCAGCCTGCAGCAGCTGGAGGTGATCCTTGTGGACGGGAACCCTATGACAGACCCTCCGATCGAAGTGTGCTGCCAGGGGACATCTGCTATCTTGGAGTACTTACAGGAAAAAAAGCATAAAAAAGCCATGGCCCTGAAGGTACCTGTGTTAAGAAAGCAACAGCAAATGCACACACACAGCAGCGGGTTTAGTAATCAGATACTTTGTAGAACAACCTACAGAGCATCTGCACAACATCAAAAACACCTTAAAACATTGTTTGCATCAGCTACTGTGGAGCCATACTTCTAAAACTGGTCATGTTAAGGCAAAACATGGGGAACCACCAGGAAATAGAGCACAGGGCAGCTGGCAGAAATGTAGCAGAAGGTTGTCACTGCCCCACCAGGACACAGTCAGCAGTACGGCCCTTGCAACTTGCAGTGGAGCTTGGGCAGTGACGGGAATGGTTACTGCCCCTAAAAACAAGTCAGGTCCTCTAAGTCAAGACACTGTTTAGAGACAAATCTATCTGCCACTCTTGTTGACTGTGCTTTGACTGTAGAAAGTTGCAGTTGCTGGCACATTGAACAAAACATTTTTTTGTGTGAGGGGTATTTTTGTTAATTTTTTTCTTTTTTCCCCCCAAAGGAAGAGCAGTTTGTATCACCCAATGGGCCATGGAATGAATTAACTCAGAAAAAAGTATGAGGCAAGAAGGAAGGAAGGGCAAACACTCAGCCTTTGATTCTTCTGAAACTAAAATTCTTCCTCTCCTTCTGTAGTGTCTGCTATTTCTTCACGAATTAATGTGTTTCTCCCAAATTTCTCTTCTGAACTAAGTGATGGCATTTAAAAATGTGTAGACATAGTCATTTCCCACTCAGAGGGTCTGGAGGACTGCAGTGTTAGTGTCCTCCCTGGTAAGGAATTCCTCTTGAAAAAGTAACACAATAAAAGAAGTCAGGTGGCTGTCAGTCAAGCTGCAAACAATGTGGTTGAATGCAGAGTAAGAGTTGCTTTGGAGACCATGGTGTGTCAAGCTTTTTGCATCAAGAATAACCAGCAGTGATACTGCTCCACACAACTGTTTGCTTTTACCCTTTTCCGCAAGGTAACCAGACTGTTCTCTCTTTTTGAGATCAAAAATCTGTGGCAAGGGTTGATGACCAAGAAGGGGATTGGACCTCTGTTGACACTGAAGAGTCTAGCAGCCACAAAAAAGGAAAAGAAAGGAAAAGAAAAGGGAAAACAGAAACCTGGGAAAAAGGCAAACACCAAAAAATGATCTTTGTGCAGTCGCTGGAACAGAACTCATTTACAAGAAGAGCAAACGTGAGTGGAGATAAGTGAGTAGGAGACAAGCAGTAGTATTAAAGCATTTCAAGCAGTGAGTGTTACAATGAAAACTTTTGTTTTGTTTTGTTTTCTGAGGCTTGTTTTAGTTCTTTTGTCATCATTTGCTCCAGCTGAATCTGGAGATATCAAATCTGCTGAAATATTCTGAGATTTCTCATTCTGAATACATTATCTCAAAGCATAGGGGCAGATGATTAACTGGAAATTAATCTAATGTGCAGGAATCTGGTGCAATGAAGTGTTCATTGTTCTGAATTCCAAAGGATTTTACATCCAATACTGAGAAACCTATTTTCCAGTCAGTGAGGTACATCCTACCTAGAATGAAACAATACTCGTAGCCCTGCATACTAGCAGCTATTTGATGACTTTCGCATTCATAAATTATCAAAATCTTGTTTGGAAATATGGAGCAGGATTCCAGGCAGCCAGAACACACACACACTTCCACCACAGTCTGCAGTACCTTGCAAGAGGATAAAGAGCTGTTTTAAAAGCATTTCTACACTTTTGCAATAATGTTCCCTAACATTTTGACACGCTGTAGTTATAGTACTTTGAATGACTGCAAGCTGTCAAATATTTAGCTTTATAGCTCATCCCTGAGATAGCTTGGTGACAGTTTGCAAAATGCCTGTGTACAACGTGTTTATGTGAAAACAGTGAGCTTGCAGAATGCAGTATTCTGCAGTGATTCTAGCATGCTGAATTTATATGCAAACATACCTCTCCACAGCACTTGCTAGGACTACCAGTGACCTGTCAGACATCCACTATGTCTAGTTTTTACTCTTTGCTCAGTCAGTCATTCTTCGCACCCCTACAGAGTTCCGTCTGCAACATCCATTCAGCGCAGAGCTGAGCTAGGAGCAGCCACGGTGCAGACCCAAACTGCAGGAGCGGGTGGGAGCAGAACCGTAATTAGTTTCATTGGCAGGTCAGACCTTCAGTCCTGCTCTCCCTCCCTGTGCCTGCGTTGGTGGCACCCTGAAGGAGGTGATAAAGGCAGGGTCACTGAGACTCAGCTCTTCCTAGAGCTCTGCTCCAGGTCGTGCTCTTCTGAGTGCCGTGGCTACATCTGCATCCAGGGCATGGATCTCATTGCTGTTTGGCTCTTGAACCTGTTGATACTGAAATCTCGGTAATATGCTTGCTGGCAGGAGAGAACCGGGGACTTTTAAGTGCAGAAAAGTGGGATTGCTCAGTTTTGGTTTTCCATCTTATTAGGTAATCGATGCTTTTTTGACTGTCTGGAGGTGTCTTAGGGAATTTTTTCACCTTAAGTGAAGGTGAAGAGGCACAGAGAAAAGCGTGATTCAGAGACTGCTGAGGAGGAAAACAATGGAAGAGAGATTTCCAGGAAGACTGGCAGATAGACAGGATAATAGAAGGGATTTAATAAAAGCTTTTTAGTGGTAGAATAGGCATGACAGAATTGCAAAAGAGTGAAGGACAGAGAAGGGGATCCAAAAAAGCAAGTGGAGAGGTTACTAATAGTGAGTCTGCACTGTGCCCTGGAGCTGAGAATGAGGAACCCAAGTATAGCACAGCAGTGAGGCCCACCACAGTCTGAATTAGATGGAGAGGTTCAAGTGAGAGAGGAGAGATTCACAGAGATTCCCAAAGAACAGAATCATTTTCCCAGTTGGACCAAAGGCAGATTTGACAGGGAAAGTCACAGGAAGAGAAGTGATTAAGAGTTTGGGTATGCTGGTGTTAAACAGAGGTGATAATATTTCCACATGAAAATAATTCTCCTGGCCTGAGTGACTGAAAGACTCCCTCATTAGCCCTATATAGAATAGGGGCTCTTTGCTTCATTTCTGAGGTTGAACATACCTACAGCTGATCCTATTTTGCAGCAATTCCCTACTACCTCTGACCACAGCACTCTGTTTCATCTCACAGTCCTCAGAGCTGGGGGAGCCAAGTGCACATCTCGGTGAAACTGAAACTGCAATCAGGAAGTCCAGGGAGACCCTCGTGTGAAATCATGGATTAAACATTGAAGGGCTATCAGCACAACATGGTTAGCTGCTGTTATAGCCCTGACCAGCCAGAAGTTGGTGTTGGAAAGGTCACCCAGGATGAAAGCTGAATATTGACCTGCCTCTGCATGGGAGGAATTGCTGAGGGGTCCTTGCAAGTTAGGAAAGTGCCAGTGAACGGTCCTGGTTGTGCCTCTCCTCCAGGAGACTGCTGCAGCATGTAGACATACTCAGGACTAATTGAGCAGTACTTTATCCCTCAAGCTGCCTCAGGATTTCTCTAAGACTCCTCACTCAGTGGGCAGATCCAATATCTTTACTTCCTAAAATACCTTACCAATGAATAATCCCACTGCAGACTTTGAGCTCATGTGTGAGTTAACAGGCTCCATGACACAAGTCAATATGCCAGAATTTGGTTCTGTGTAAATAGGTACAATATTTGGCAATAAATGCCAAATAAGAAATTATCAAACGTAAAAACAGGAGCCACTTGTATGGATCCAAGTTAGTGATTTTTCTAACAGGTTTGGGAGTAAAGGAGGATGCTCTGCTCCTACTTAGAAGCTGCCCTGTGGCTTTTAATAATAGCCTTTGCTTCCCTGGCTTGGTTTCCTCCATGTCTAGGGTAAGAGAAAGAACACATTTTATGTCACAATGTGCTAATGGATTAATCCTGAATGGATTAATCTTGAATGCAGAGAGCATGAAGGCACTCCAAGAACTCCTACTGGCTTTGATAAATGTGGGATCAGAATCCTCAATCTCGAGGTCTGATTTTGTGCTGCATGTCATAAAATGTTCAGTGCAGGAAGCTCAACCCAGTTAAAGATGGAACACCTCAGGATGTGAAGGAGCATCTGAAGTATCCTGAAATTTCTTCATAGCCTAACCCAGAATGCTTACGAATTACTCTGTATTCCAAATCCTTACTAAAATAGCAGAACATATCTGATCTAACCTTCTGCAGCATTTTCTTTGCCCAAGGCTTGCAAAGACACCAATCAACCGTTTCTTACCTTGATTTCATGCTGATTCTGTATGCAGAACTCATCTACGCTATCAGATGGCATCGAGGGCCGGAGCAGAGGCAGAACAGCTCCGTCTGCGTTCTTCTTACTGGACTGATATATAATCCTGAGCTGTGAGATTTGGAAAGCATCCCAACAATTATGTAGCTTTAAAGCATTCCCAAAGGGGCAGACGTTTTGGGGAAGAAGAAACCAAATTTTAAAACATAGAGGTTTCAAGTATCTTTAAATTACAGGCATTTTCATTATAGGCATGAGGCCATAATCACACTGCCCATCCGTCTGCATCAGTGCATACCCCAGCCACTTCCTTCCACTGGCAAGCCTGCAGTGTGTCTGTCTGAAATCCTCATTGCTCTTTTGCCATCAGTCATTGTAGTATTCACAAGATTAGGCATATATAGTAGTGTCACCATAGCAGCATAAGCATGGCTCAGAGAATCTGAAAGAATATGTTAATAAATGGAAGGATCTGTGTCTGCAGAAGGTTAAATAACTGTTTTATATCATTTTGGAACTATTTCAAGAGCTCTCATGAGAAGAGATTACTCAAAACTGGGCAGTTTTCTAAGTCAAAGACACACAATGCTTGTTTGTGAAAGGCTTTCCAGAAACCTCCAACCTCCATCAGCAGTCAAAACGTATGTTTCTCTTGTTGTCTTGATTAAAGCTTTCCAGTTGTTGCCGCTGTGACTCTGAAAGGACCCATCTTTGCATCCCCAGCTCTGCCAATGCAGGCAGCTTTGTCAGTGCTGCTAGCAGCTCACTGAACCACGTCCCACAGTCACGGCAGGATGAGGGGCGAAGGCTGACATCCAGCTCTGAGAGTTCTTTGAATGCTGCTAAGCCGCGACAGAAAACCATCCACCCTTCGTCAGAGATGCTGTTATTATAACTCAGATCCAGCTCCCGTAGTCTGGCTAGATGGCCATCCTGCGTCAGCAACGCTGCAAGAAATGACACACACAAACACAATCAATACATCCCAGCAATTGCTTTAAAAGCTTATAAGTAAGAAGAGGAGTACTTTAATACCATATTATTTAGAGCCTTTCTGCAGTCGAACAGCAAGAATCAACTCCTCGGCAGCATACAATGTGCCAATCACTTGCTATTGTTCTCAAAAAGACTGTTTTATCACAGCTGAAGGTGTGTACAATATTTAAAACACAGACAATTCAAAGGGAACAAAAGTGTCAGGTTAAAATTGTATGGCTACCCAAACACCTCTGAGTCAGTTGGAGGTTATATGAAGTGCTAATTAAAATAGGTAGGCAGGCTCTACAGGGAGATTTAGAAAGAGAAAAGCAAAACTCTGTAAGGATGCATGATTACAACATCCACCTCTCACTATGGGAGGGTAATGGACCTAATATACCCTAAAGGGAGCTGGGATCATTAATGTATAATTAGCAAAAGAGCCACCCGTCAAGGCTGATGTTTGTAAAGTCAAAATGTTCAGGCTTTATTCCACCAGCCTTCAGATTACAGGGCCTTAACACTTATTGCACAGCTATTGCCAATTTCAGACACTCAGAACCCATGAGCCCACAGAATCACAGGGATGGCTTTAAAATATATAGGTTTCTTTAAAAGGATCCTGAAATTTATTCCTTCATTGGGTTCCCATTTTCCAGAGTTTCTTAGCAGCTGCTGAGAAGTAGGTTAAATATTTCTATTTTAATTCTCCCACAACAGTTTGACTCTAGAAACATACCTAATGGACTGAGAGCTGGTAGTGCCTGCTTTACTAGCTGTCAGCATGTACATTTCTCATAAATTACTAACCCAAAAAGAGCAATTGAGCAAAATAAAACTCCTCAGTGGCAGCTTTAAACATCTGATATAAAAAACAGACTCAAACCCTACATTTTTTTCCAAGTGCTGCAGTTTTGTATTAATACATAAAACTGTGAGGGTGATTCCTTGCATTTTTATCATTTTCAGGTTTTGCACTGTGCATGTAACAGGGCACACAGCTTTCAGCAAAATGAAAACCCTTTCCGGGAAAAATACTGCTGTATTTTCCATCTTTCCATTTGATTTATGCAAAAACGTGCTCAGCACATGGAACAAGTCCCTTCTGAATTGTGGTCTACATGCACTGGCTCCTTGACTGCTAGTAAATACCATGTCATACGTACTTAGAAGTGCCAAATCTTCAGCCACCAAGTTACAGCTGCTCAGTCTTAACACTTGAATCTCTCTTGCAAGCTTTAGTGCTCCCAAAAGCAGCTTTAGGTTGCCACCAACGCACTTATTCCAAGAAAGGTCTAATATCTCCAGTTCAGGAAGGTGAAGGGCGGCCTCAGCTGAAAAGATTAAGAGCAGCAACTTCTGCTTACTAAGAGAAAACAACATGGCCTCAATAGACACCTCACCGGCAATTCACCTGCAAATAAGCTCCTAACAGGCTGCCTACTTGTGCTTACAATGATTTATTTTGTCTTAATAAAAGTCAGACCAACCCCCTCACCCCTCAAAAAAATCTCCCAAACATACCTCCTATGCTCATTAAACAATGTAACAAGGGTCTTTAAGGACTCCAAAGAGTTTTCTTGCCTTTCTCTTTACATTTACAATCTCATCCCACTGAAGTCTATTTAGTAGAACTGCTCATTTTTACAACATTTTAAATCCATTTAAAACCAGCAATTTTTTTTACTGTAATTCACCTTGGAAGGCAAAATGCACTGTATCTTTTGTCAGCACTGATTTCCATGATGTCATCCTTACATAATTGTAATGATATCAATATTGTGCTCTTCCTGTGGGGACCTCACAACAGTTCAGCTTGATGCTGCTTTTGCTGAAGGAAGTCGAGCTTTACGATGGGTTTCAATGTCACCAATATACAGCATAAAATATACCAGAACTGTACAATGCACAATAACTAACAGATCCCTCTGTTATAAATGTAATAATTGCAGTCTTACAACCAAACTGTAATTCCAGCATAATATAAAACCTTGTTCTGCCTCCTCCTCTTCTGATGTTAGACAGTATATGAAAGCTCACTATCAGACAAAGGACTCAAAGGACTTCATCCAGGCAGGTGTAACGGGGGAAGAGATACAATGATCTTCCCTTGCAACCAAATCCCACAAAGCACTGGTTTCATCACAAGGCAACCAAAGCAGAGACGATTACTTTTCTGCTCAGGACATACACATGTAGTATAACGTAACCATTATCTCTGGAGTTCAGCCAACAGAATTAAGATCTTTATCCCACAACAAGACACTGAGGATAGACACACTTTAAAAAAAAACATTCTTACCTAGTGATGAAAAGGGCTCTTCACCTAAACCACAATTGCTGATGGCCACAGATTTCAAATTTGGTAAAAATCTGAGTCTGCCAAGAAGAGGAGCAGATGAGACTCCTACATTTTTATTCGAGGATAAATTCAGCTCTTGAAGACTGGAGAGTAAAGGTATCACCTGGGCTTTGAAAACATGAAATATTTGTTAGACAGTCACTGATCTAGGACAAATACGTAGTTATAAATTTGACTGACATCATTACTTTTCTTTATAAATCAATCCAAAAGTGATAGCCAAGTTTTGACACTCAAAGGTCTGATGAGTAATGTTTTACTCCACAAACAGCCTTGACATTTTCAGTAGGAATGTTTAAGAAATTAGGTATTACACAGTGTATGGAAGGTTGTCAAGACACAGCTTCCTGTTGAAATTTCCCTGGTTGAAATTCCTAGATGGAAAAGTAGGGAATTTAACATTAAATGAGATGGGGGTTATTTCCAAAATATATCGCCACTGCTAACTGGAACTATATTAATGTGATTATTCTCTATTGGTTTTAGTGAGTGTACAATAACTTAAAAATAAAGTATTTCCAGAACTGCCTAACAAAAACTGTACTGAGATCTGTTAGACTAGGTTGGGCAGAATCTCTTATGCCTTTGAGGTATTTTCAGAAGTCACAACCATACATTTGTAAAGAATTTCCTTAAAATGTCCTTACACAAAACAGTCACATCTTCTTCTGTTACACAGCACTGGTGGAGATCAAGGACTTCAAGATTTTTCAAGTTGGCCAAATGAGCTGCTGCGTCTTTGAAGCTACCACCAATCTCTTTGTTACATGATATGTCTAATTTTCTTAGCTCTGCAAGGTGCTGTAAGGCAGCATCTGAAATGGAAAAGGCAGCGTGCTGGTCACTGGCTGCTGCAACAGCACAGATCACAGCTTTAGTGTTTATTTACTTTAATGTCAAAGTTTGCACAAGCTATTGAAGTCAAAGCTCTTACACTAAGCTTCCATGTATAAACACAGCAGACACAGTGATACTGCAAAGCTTCCCCATCCATGCAACTCCATCCTTCTCTAAAAGAGCAGGTGAAGGTGAGGTAATTCATCCCCCAGATCCATTCAGTCAACATGTTGCTGAAATGATGACTGGAAGTGCAAATTGGTGCCAGTTGTTTTGTCTTACGGACAAGACCTCCACTAGGGAGAGCCACAGATAATAAGCCCATTTCATACGGCTTCACTGGACACTCATTAAGTGAAAATGGTAAATTTGGATTCCCTTCTGAGAGCAGGATTAGCTCTTTAAAAGTTAGCTTGCCAGTCTGTGCCCTTGCCTATGTCCTGTCTGGAGAGAGAGGACGCATGTCCAGAGGGCCATTAATCCACCCTAAGATGTGTCTCAGATAAATGGCATGGAAGGTGACTCTCCCCACTGACTTTTGCAATGTTCAAGCTCAGGGAAGATAAATGCTAACTCCTGCTGAAAGTCTCTGCAGTCTTTTATCAATCCTCAAACAGCAAATAACGATTGCCCATTAATACTGCTGAACCTTCGGCAAAACCCCACCTCATTGCCTTTCTTAAATGGGTTTCAGATGTACAGTTTATTCAGAATGAAAGTCTTTCTGAATGTAAAGTCTAACCTAAGCCCTGGAGGCTGTCGTGCTTTAATCCACACATGTGCAAGTTTAACTCTCTGAGGCCAGGCACGTTTTTCAGATCCTGAGCAATGACCTTCATGCTGCAGCCAATGTGTTTGTTGATAGAGAGATCTAATACTTCAAGGTTTGGGATCACAGTTAGCATTTCAGCTGGAAAACAAAAACAAAAACAGAATTGGTAATTTTATGGAACATACAGATGAACCCTAGAAAAAAATAACACCCTGACAAACAGGAAGAGGCAGGCTGGGTTTGCCTATATGTGTGGTTTAGACTTATTCAGTTTCTGTTCTACCAAAAAATACATCAAAACAGGAATTGGATAGGAATCAAGAAAATCTCTGAAAAATCTATATGAAAAAAATCATGAAAGACGGTAAGAAAAAATACAGGGGAATAAAAGACAGGAATACAAAGGGAATGAAAAATTTATAATGAAAAGATATAGAATTATATGTTTCATATGAGACATGTCCTGCACTGGAGATCAGAACAGAGCACAGGGAATTCTTTTTAGGGAGAAAATCTTTTAAAATACAGAATCAGATCAAAAGACCACAAAGGATTAAGCTATGGTAAAAGGAAAGAGGGGAGGAATGGCAACTGAATGCCAGCTCAGCCTAAACTCCTACCCCTCAGTCCTTCCTTTCCATCCCACGGCTAACTACATATTCAGCTGTTTAACTTCAAGTAATCAGTGTTGGAAGTGCTGGTGTACAAGACTTGCTCAGGGTCTCAAAGGATGCAGCAATCGTGGACCACTGGGCCAGCCAGACTGTGGTTTAGACCCAGTTATTCTTCCGCTCACTTCTCCCTCACGTGATTAGGAAGAAAAACACTCCTCTTTGGAAGGAAGTGCATTAAATATCAATACTGTGTGGTAAACAGTGGTATAACGTGAAGCATGAAATAAATAGCTCTCAACTAATACTGACCTGAATACAGCCATCATCTAACTCAAATGAGTTACGTTTTTGTGAAGCCAGTTGTTCAGCCTAGCTATGTGGATACACTTACCAAGGGATTCTCCATCCTTTGCTGTCAGGTTACAATCTGTCATTCTCAGAAGTTTTATCTTGCATCCTTTTGGGAGTTTTTTTGTCAGGAGTGATAGTTTTCCACCTATATTGCTGTTCCATGATAAATCCAGTTCTTCAAGTTGAGGAACAATTTCAAAGGCCTCTCCTGTAACAGAAGTCCAAGATGATTCATTCTAAAGATCAATTTCAATGCAAGGAAAAAATACAGGTTTTGAATACATAAAAGGGGAAAGTTGGCCATTTAATTCTCAAATTATATTTTATATGGTTTGATAGGAAAATTGGTGTATGCCATGCTACTGCAACAACATTGTATAAACTCTCACCTTGTCTAAGGAGCAGTATAGACCACAAGTTACTGTCACAGCACACGCAGACCTGATATTTATCCAGGCTCCCAAATACTCATCAGACTGCCTATCATTGCAGAGCTGTGCCACAGCCCAGAAAGTCTAGTCCGCAGGGAAGCAACAAGTCTAAATTTACTGTCCTGTACAGTTTTTCCTTATTTAATTTGGCAAGCTTCCAGTATCCTCTGTACTGCATCCACAGGTCATTTTGGATGGGATGAAAGAAGTCCTCTCATAGCTATTTCTGAGATTTAAAAGGTTTGATTCTGGCAGGAATTTCCAACTCACTTCATAAGGAATCAAGATAAGCATTTAAGCATTGTTTTGATCCAAACTAACTTTCCCAGGATTTCAAGACAGACAGCACCAATTTTGACTCTATTCAGAAAAATTACCCTTTTCCAGACTTGGCACCAGTCAACTGGAACTGTGTAAGTGCTTCTTTGCAACACTAATATCCACTGCAAAATCCAACTTCCTAAATTGCTTTGCAGAGAGGAGAGGCAGATGTACATTCTCCTAACCCCATTTAAATAAATCAGACCATATGCAAATGCAATTTCCAAGTGTCACATATAAATCATTGATCTAAAGTCTTGTCATCAACCTAAAAACTGAGAATTGAATTTTAATAAGAAGAACTTTTCTTGTCTGTATGTTTTCATAACTAATTCCTCACAAAAGATTTTTGATACAAAAATAATGATTTCTGTTGTTATGAGTGAACATCCAGGATTGAGAGAAAAATACATCTTAATTTTTATCTTTTTTTTTTCTTTCATTTATTTTAAGTGGTTTCCTCAATCTTAAATATTGAGCAATGCTCTACAGCTGAGAAATGGCTTTCTCACTGCAGCACAGCCTGTTTCTGTTTGATGTGGGAAGTAGCATTCCAGACACATTTTCCACCCAGAAGATAAATAATGGACTATAACTTCAGGAATGGCTTCCTACCACCTCTTACAGTCACAGCTCAGAGCAATCAGATAGGAGAGGTTGATATTATGGTTATATCTGAGGCGTTTATTTCCAAGCAGAATACACAGACTCCACAGATGGCTGTATTTCCACAGATGGATGGACAAGGTCAAACAGGCAGTACTGGCCTAAACATGTGTGTTATTTTTAAAATCGCAGGCAGATCAATGCAAACAGACTGTTGTCATTCCACATCTCAAGGGAATCAAATTTTGACTGCAAGTTCAAATCCTATGATCAGTTTTGTGTCTGTCTCAGCAGAGACCGAGCCAAGGGGGAAGGAAACAGCATGGAAGAACAAGACAGAATAAATTAGTTGAAAATATAACCAATAAAATTCAAAGAGAAAAGAAAGTATGAGAAAGGGGGCTGAAAAAGAAAGAAATGTTTGAAAAAATCCAATAGAAAATGAAACACAGCTTTTGCCCTCATCAGAAACAGACCAATTATTTTCACCAGCTTTTGCAAAGATGGATTTTTCCTCCCCAACAGATAGCATGACCCACTTTTGAGCTATTACCATATATGTTGTTTTATTTCTGAATATTTCCTGAAAAAAAAAATGGATTTGAATGACAGAAAAAAACAGCCTTCAAACTCAGACCAGTTTTCAGACCTTGCAAAATAAACAGCAGGTTTCTAGAATAACTTAGTTGGTTGAGTTTGCCCTTCTTTCAGATAAGTATCACAGACCCACCCCAGTAGTAAACTCCAGGCCCAGAGGTAAGTGACTCAGCATCAGGACCTGAGTGCATAACACCGCTGTTAAAACCTTTACATCTCCTGCTTTGCAAAAGTAGGGCTGCAGGCACTCCAAGCAAAGAAGTAAGCAGAAGAATAAGTTTCTCCCAGACTCACAAAAACAAGTCATAAAGCTCCGAGGCAGCACTTCTGGTTTTAAGCCTCCTCCAAAAGACCATCAAATATTTTGTGATGAGCACTGCATCTGGCCTGCAGCACGAAGTCCTAAGCTGACCCTATTATGACTGACAGCTTGTTTCACTTCTTCTGCCTACCATTAGATATCAAAAGTAGCCAAAAAAATACTAATCCAGATGGAAAACATGCTTTTCTCCAAATGGGACTGAATTCTGTTCCCTTCTTAATGATACAGCTTCACAATCTGAGCAATGAACTTGGCAGAGCCACTCCAATGTATGAGGTCGTGCATAAACCCAACTTCTTTCTAACCTTCCACAGCAGGAGTTTATTTTGTCCAGTGTGGAAGCAGCAGAGGCAGGGCATGGGAAGAGACGAGACGAGGTGGATTACATTACACCCAAGCTGTCTGGAAGTAAATGCAAATTCCATCCCATACCTAAGGAGGTGACATCCTCAGCTGTCAGCCTGCAGTTGTTAAGTCGAAGGACTCGTAACAGGTTCACATGATGGAGCTGCACAGTGAGGGTTTTCAGAGTCCCTCCAACGCAACCATTCCAGGACAGGCTGATCTCCTCCAGCTCTGGGAGAAATGGCAGTAAAGAAGCTGAAGGAAAAAAAAAAAAAAAAAAAAAAGACAAGAAAAAATGCATTCTGTTTGCATGTTATCTGCAAACCCTGCGTGTGAATACATCTTAATACAGAGGTGCTTTCTAAAACCAGTACAGCACTAGAAAATCATGACATTCTGTATTTTCTTATCAGTAGTTTGAGCATAAGGACATTCTCCAGCTTCACAGACTTGCGTGGTTTTAATATTTATATATATTACATAATTAATATAACTCATTAATTAACATTTCTCAGAAGGTTGGAACCACCAGATGGAATGTTAAATAAAGCCAAGCCTGATATAAAAGAAAGGGAAAGAAAAAGAGGAGAGCGAACAACTGAACAGGCAAATAAGAATTAAAGAAATATATGAAGTGTCTAGTTGAGTAAAATGCGTATTTACCCAGCTCTGTTACATCTGCTGCACTTAATGCACAATTGTTCAGATCCAGGTTCTTGCTGTCAGGTTTCTTTCCCAGTTTCTGCATGAACTGGTTAAATCTCTGCTCACCAGATGGTGACTCTGCTTCAGAAATGGGATGTGAAGGTCCATCTGAGTAACAAAGAAATAGGGTCCTGGTTAACCCTGCAACTAACCCAGCATGTAAAACCTGTCTGTGGCTGCCAGGTTTTACAAAACAAACTGAACCTGCCAGTAAAATGGGTTCTATTTTTGGTCCATATGGACCAACGACCTGAGTGATAAGATCACTGTAGATCAGATCAGCACAAAGCTCATGGTGCACAATGAGAAAAGAGTCTTCCTCGCACATCTCCATGCTACCCATGCCAGTGGGTGTTTGGCTAGTTCAAGCACATTAAATTCTTGCAAAACTCAGGGCTGCAGCTATTCCGGATGCACGTCATACAACCACCTCTGCATGCCATATTGCTGGAGTACAGTCTGCACTTGGACAGTGAGAACCAAGTGGCCCTGCAGTTGCGTAGTGATCTTCTGCCTTGGAACAGCTTGTGTTCATTTTCATACATTGTCTGCTTAAGGCAGTTCCTGCTTTCCTTACATTCTTCCCCCGCACAGTTTGTACAGAAAGGAAAATTGCATTTACATTCTTTACTAAATCCTTTAAAAAACTGGTAATTTCATCTCATGTCCGTAGCTGGAAAAGAAACAAACAATCAAACAGCCCCAAACTACACAAAACAGTAACTCCACTGACAATAGCTGCCCCCTCCTTGTTTTCCCCAACCTACCTACAACTCTCAGGACAAAGGATGGGATTTTAAACCTCACCTTCCAGCACCTTTTTAAAAAAAACTTCCTTTTCTCTGGTGTGGATGCAAAGAGTACTCTTGTGTGCACAAAATGAGACTCATAATGAACCTCCATTGCCTTCCCCTCCCCCTCACGAGTGCCATGGGTAGGAGACATCTGCTCTTGTTGTCTTCAGATTGCTTTAGCAGCAGGGTGGACAGAGACCAATCTTAAATGCAACAAGCCAAGCTACTGCTCAAAGCTTGGCTTTGAAACCATATAAGCTCTGCAGCTAATGAGCTGACTCCAGCACTGACCTCTCACATTGGAAATCAAGAGGGAGGTCACCCCAAAGCTTTATCCCTCCTCAGCAACACGGGTCCCACTTCTTGCTTGGGACCTATTAAGTCAGATGGCACATCCTTCATAATGTTTCAATCAGAAGCAAATTATGGCTAAAGAAGAAATTACAGGCAGCAAATACAACATTTGGGCTAGCACTAAAAGCACATGATTCTCTATGAAATTAAAATGTACACACATGCACGTGGATTTCTTTCCTGTACTAACATTACCGTCTAAAGAGAGATCTTGCTTCTCACTCTGATCTTCAGCACTGGAGTTGTTTTTTTCTGTTTCTTCGGTTTCCCCTCCATCCTTGCCTTCAGATTTCCCAAAGTCAAAGCCACTGAAGAATTTTTTGATGGCGGAAGGCTGCTCTTTTCTTTTCCCAGAAGAGGATTTCTTCCCTTGGAACTGTTTTATAACAAAGTCAAATGGGGAGCTCTTCGGGATGGCCTCTTCATTCTTGGTCTGGGAGCCCTGAATGTCTCCTTTGGGGGGATCAGCAGAGAAGGAATTAGCTTTATTAACATTCACTCTTCCTTACCCTCTTTCATAGCAGCAGGGGCGCTGAGAATTTCCTACCATCCCCTTCACACCAATATCACTATCACTGTTTAGTCTCTGAACTCATTTTCCCTCCTTCCAAAGGAAGGTGAGAGGAGGAGGTGTGCAGCAGGGAGCACAAGGACATCTTTGCCCAAACAATGTCACGCTCTCCCAGCTCGGGGTGGAACAAGCAAATGAAACCCCATTAACCTTAGAGCAAAGCTGCAGTGATAGTGCAGAAAACAACCAGATATTGCAGCTCTGAGCACTGGGAGTGTGCCAATGCTGGAAAAAAAAACAAGCCCCCCCCCAGACAACTTGTCTGAAAAAGTTCAGTGCTATAATGACCTCAATTTCAGTGACTAATTGACACATAAATTAAAGTTTAACTTTATAATAATTTTTATATATTATTTCCTTATTTCTATTTATGCTACACAAACCATATCATCATCTGCTGACTCTGAGCTGCTTTGTTTTTCTCTAAACGTTAATATAACACTCTTTCTCCAGGCCTAATTCTAGCACTTACCTGCACACACATGCTTTTAACCGGGCAGTGACTCATGCAAACCAAGCAGGCAATCATTGATTTTGCTGCGTGAAGCCTGGGTGGAAGGGGGATGTACTGAGCCCTCCTGTGTGCCAGGCACTGCAGGGGAAGGACGGGGGTCAGGGCTCGTGAGCTGATTCCTGTGCTCACAGCCCCACACTGAACTCCTCACACCATCCGCTGCCATCCCCAGAGCACATGAACTCAATCACTTTAATAACTGTTAAATACAACGTCGCTGGCGGCAGCAGCATACACGTACGTGTTTTTTCTCACGCTGGAAGTTATCTGCTTTGATACAAGTGTTCAAGGGCAGACACTTACAAAAACCTGATGCATTGTGTTGAGCTTGCTCTCAATAGCCTACCGCAGCTGTATTTCTCAAATAAAGCACAGACATTGTTCAAAGCAAAGCACAGAGATGTACAGGCACAATTCCTGGGCTGCAAAGCAGTGCTGGTTTTCACGCCTGCTGCTTTTCGTGCTGTAGAACAGTATTATTCTAAACAGACACAAACACATACCTGTTTTTTCCATTGGTACGCTTGAGGATTTGTTTCACATTTGCAGCAGTCTCAGGGCTTACAGAAGAGAGCCACGACATGCAAACCAAACCTCGCTCCTCTCCCTAACAGGACTTTCCACATACTTTTCTTTCAAGAGCTTCTGTCTTCACCAGCCCGGCAGCAGCAGTTCTGCACGACAGCTCTGCGGGCTCCTTCCTGCTGCCTCTGTTCTCCTCCACGGTCTCCTGAAGAAATCAGACGGCCTCTTCTTGCTGGGGAGAGAGCTGAGAAGCCACCTGAACGCCCAGACCATGTCCCAGCTCGGGCCAGCGACGGGTGAGAAGCCAGGAAGCGGCAGCACAGCCCTCGACGCTGCACCCTAACCACTGCCTGGCCTGACAGCTGCTGCTGGCAGGGGCCGAGCCACCTCACAGATCAGGTTGCAGGGCACCTGAAGAAAAGCTCTTTGTTTTCCCACCCCTTTTGTCCATACCTCTCAGAAGGGCTGCTGGAGGCTGAGCAAAGCCCTGCGTGCCGTGCCACCAGGCGTTGCACAGCGCTGTAGGAGAAAGGCACCCGCACAGCTCGCTCCTGGCACCGCAGGGCAACGAGACAGGAGGGGAGAGGTCCTGCTGTGCCGTCCCGTGCAGGCTGCTTGTAGGCAGCAGCATGACACAGCTTTATGGGGCAATCAGGTTACACGTCATATATATATACCGCCCTATACCTATACTATCTGCCCTAGAATCTGAGATCTCTGACAGTAAGCGTCACATTTTCCAGCTTAAACGTGCTCATGGTCACTTCTCCTGAGTCTGTTTGGCTTCAGTGATTTTTTCTAACCTATGCTGTCTTCTCTTACACAGCCTAAGCCACCCAAATACTTCTCGTCTCCCCTTATGGGGCAGAATCTCCATTTCCTGCTCTCCCAGGTCAGCACCTGTTCCAACACCACTCACACTTCCTTAAAAGCTTTGGGCCTTGCTCTGCTATGTACACACCAGAGACATATGCAAAGTGGAGTGCTTTGGTGGGGAGCGATAACGCTGGGTAATAAACCCAATGGTTCAGGGAAAGCAGCCGAGCAGACAGCAGCCTGGGGACAGCTTGACTCAGTGTGTCAACGCAGGAATGATTCAGACCCGGCTGAACGAGGCACGGCTGCTGCCAGGAGCCAACAGGATAAGATTTAAGGAGAGAAACTTAAAGTGCACAGCAGGAAAATCCTCCTGCCCGTGAGACATACTACACGGGGAAATGATTACGGTAGGGAAAGATGCACAGAACAGTGTGGTGGGCAGCCTTTCCCTGCAGGAACAGGGGGCACACTTCTACTCCCAACCAGGAAGGATCTCCAAGTCGGCTGTAGTGTTGGCTGTCCCCTTTCCATTTTCCACGCTGTGCTTGACAAAGGAATGGCCAGGGATGAGACGGATGCAAGGCAACCCCTGTCCGTGCCTGTGGTGTTCAATGCCCACTGCAGCTCGGCAGGAAGGTGGCAGGGGAATATCTGCTAAGCTCCGCTCCTCGGGACCAGGGAAGTCCTTAAGTGTGTTAAATCCTTTGCACCAGGCAGGGTGTGCCCAGAACATGCAACGTACCGTGATGGCAGCCCCAGACTGGCCCCCGCTAGCTGGCAGACCAAGCCCAGGCTGTGCCACATCGGGTGTTGTCTCCTCCATGGCGTGCTGCTGAGGGGCTGTCCTGCTCCTGCCCCACGGAGCCGCGCATCTACTGCCTGCCCTATGTCATGGGCAGGCTCAGCTTTTGCAGCTTAAAAATAATAAACGCCTTCCCCTTTGTATCCAGCGATACGGTGAGTGACCATCTGCCAAGTGCTCAGTGTCACATGTGTTTATATCTGTACCTCCCTCTGGGTAGACCTGGGGCAGAGATAGGGACAGAACCGATTTTGGAACAAAACAGTTAAAGTTGCATCCCACACAGCATCCACTGGTGAGAGATTAATGTGGATTTTTGTACTTTGCCTCATTGTGACTCCTTAATCCGGCATATATTCCAAAGAAATAATGCCATTAGAGGATTAGTGCCACAAGTTCATTTGAAAAAAAGGATTTGCAAACACTGAAATCCTATATTCTATGTACTTAACCACCGAGTATCATTTTGGGGATTTCCTCTCCCTTCAGTTGGGTGTCTTTCAATGAAAATCAAGCAAGGTAGCAACTCAGTTTTCAATGCCCCTTTTTCTCCATTAAAGAAAATGAACCCCCCAAGCACCTGGCTACAATAACACAGAATGCTTGCTATAGTTCAATCACTGTGGTTATACCAGGAAGGCATTTGGCTCAATATTTACACAGAATGTAATGTCTTTGGGTATTTATCCGCTAGGGATTGTTAATGTTGAGTCCTGCAGCATGCAGTAACACAGTGCCCCTTGTTTACTTCCCCCTAAGGCAGCTCCTTTCCCAGTTTTGCTCCCTCCAAGTGCAGCCAGCACTCTCTGTAGGAGGGGACTGAGTCACTACGATGCTATTTCTTCCTCCCTTCCCCTAGCACGCACCTCTGCTGCTCTCTTCCCACCTTCTGCACGAATGTCACTGCCTGCAGCAGCTTCCGTGCTGGGCTCCTGCTTGGCTCGATCTGCTGTGGGCTGCCTTGGTGAAGCAGGCATCGCATGGGCCAAGAAATTGGATGGAAAAATGCTTCCTGGCATTGCTGACTCGGCCAGTGCCAGGTTAGCTGGTGCTGGGCCCGCTCCAGTACCTGGCTCACCTTTCCCAGCCTGGCAGACCACGCCGTACTCCCCACAGCTCCCTCTCCTGCTCTGTCTCTTCCCTTTCTCCATCCTCCACCTTTTCTCAGTTCCGACTCCTTATAACTCGTCTCCATAGCTGTGAAGCTTTCAGCTGGTGCTGCCGGTATGTCACCAGCCCCACAGTATCTGTGTCACCCACTGACTGGATGCAGACTGCCTACACCCGGGCGATTCTGTGTCTCACACCATCAGAAATGTTGCGTAATGCTGACAGTTCCCTGGAGCAAACCCATTCCAGACTGCCCTGCACTGAGATCGGTGTGCGTGCCTGAGGATTAAATTTGGTCCAAAGTACCCAAGTATTCTCATCGTTTTCCACAAAATAAACATTTGACCTTCCAATGTATCAGCCCACAGTCGGTCCTGAGGCAGCTGTTTAAAATAGATTTCACTGGGTTATGAAAACCAAAGCCAATCGCCTCATTCAGTATTTATGTATAGACATAGGCTGATCACAGGAGATGCTGGAAAAGGCACTGAGAATATGCTAAACCAGAGAAAACGTTGGGTTCAGAAATGCATCTTCCTCTAATAACCTTAAAATAGACCCCCTAAACTCAGGGAAGCTTTTTGTGGGTGGAAAGGCTGAGGGAGATTTTGAGTTTTCATTGTGCTTTTACGCTTTAAAAAATAACAAAAAGTAAAGTTATGGAGCTACAATGCTGACATGCAAAGGTGGACTCTGCCCGAGCTAAAGGGGCTGCACACTCGGCAGGATCATCTTGCAAGTGCACGTGCTGGGTGAACTGGTTGTGAGCAGAGCCGCGACGTGTCCCTCGTTGCCACTGATGTTCTATAGTTATGAGAATTTCAGCCTTTTGCCCAAGCTGCTAAACACAAAGTGTAAAATCACAGAATCAGAGAACAGCCTGAGTTGTAAAGGGCCCACAAGGATCACTGAGTCCAACTCCTGGCTCCACACAGGACCACCCAAAAATCAGACCTTGTGTCTGAGAGCATTTCCATGGGGTTGAACTTTTAAAACATATTATTAGCCATACAGACAGAATTTACCTTATGAATTATAAAATAATAGCAATGATAAGTAGATTTCTCCAACTGCTATTTCACACTGAATATGCATTTTGATTTCATAGAAATTGTGATCCCATAAAAAGCATGACTGAAAGATGTATCCCAGAAAATGTATCTTCATATCCACCATGCTTATGCTTTTAACACTCTTCTATCGACTCACCCTTTTTGAAATGGAATTACACAAATACAAACTAAATATTTTATTCCCTGTTACTACCTACTAGTCTGTCAAAGAAGATTTTCAGGGCTGGAAAATTCTTTTTGGTTGAACTTATGCCAGGAGTAATCCCCTTTCAGTTAATCATTTACATGAATGGGTAATCTGCAGAGTTCATGCAAGGCCTGCAAACTATATTAATTACTAGAAACCTAATTAGAAATCAACAGAGTCAAAGGATCAGTGTTACTTCCATACGGTACCATCTGGTACAATGGGTCTGGATAGTTCAGGGAAACCCCATTGCATTCTGTGGAACTCCCTGGAAATACATATTCAGACTGGAGAGCACGTTTTTGGTGATATACGAGCTGGTTGTCAAGCATTTTATGGTCATCCTAAATGACAGCACCTGAATCCCTGTATTTCTAGCCATCATTTCAAAAGCTAATTCAAAAGACAGGGTTTACTCAACACTTTTCTTTTTCAGTGTGATACCAATGCAGTTGCAATTTGTCCTTCCACAACCAAAAATACCCTAAATCCATACATAGGCTAATGAAAAAAAAAAATCCCAAACAAGCAGATATGAAAACAATGTACAAACACATGTCCAGAGTGAAAGGAGTGAAGTTCCACAGATGACACAAGCATGGCAGAGTGCATCTTCCACTATCTGGTCAGTTTGCAAAATGTGACCAAAACTTTTCAGTTCCCTTTAGGACTACGTTAGTCAAACAAAAAATCAGGTCTTCTACGGTTGCAAATCCAGACATTTCCAACCATTTTGATTCAGGGACACAAAATGAAAGAATAATTAAATAGATAGATAGATAAATAATAATAATAATAAAATATTCTTTCAACAAACAGTGTTTGGTCAATTTAGATTTCAAAGGAACTTATTGGTTTGCCATGTCTCATTCGTCCCTTAGACTCACCCACTCCCAAGCAGTGTTATATCTTAAAGGACATTCTGTGCACTCAGATGTCAGATGATTACCGTGGCACTCCAACACACAGCTTTGCCCATTACCTTCTCTGGTTATTTTTCAGTTTCTTCCAAAAGCAGGATCCCACATGTTTATAAGCCAACACCATCACTGTAGAGTCCAGTTATTGTTTCTAATCCCAGAATTATAGGATACAGCTTTTTGTTCAAAACTAAACTTGGGATTTCCAGCCTAACTGTCTCAGATTTCCTGATCAGACCACATTGTTCCTTACCTATGCTGCCACAAATACAGGTGCCTCAGCTGTGAACACTCCTCTGGTTTAAAACTTTTGGGGGAAATATAGAAAAAAAGTGAGGTTTAGCTAAAGAATTTCATGTTTCTGAACACAGATTTCATTTTAGAAAAAGGGGATCAGTGATAAAGATGCCATTTGCCAAGTTCTGTGTCAGCCCAGCTCATTTCATTACACAGAAGTTAGGCTCCACTGAGATGCATCTTGCTTCAGTGAACACATAAGGAGAAGAAGTCAGGATTATCACTCTTCCACAGATTCCTCACTTATGACAGACAGTGTTTGGAAACTGTGGATTAAAACCTGCTTAGACTCTAGTTTAGCAGGTTCTCTATTTATACAAATCCATTCCATCATTGCATTTTGGTAAACAACAGCCCTTGAACTGGTAACAAAATTGTCTGATATCGTTATTTGCCTTCCGTTTTTGAAGACCAAAGCTATACATCCCATCAGCTGAGACATGTTCATTATTGATTGTGTAAGAAGGGGAGAAAATAAAGTTCTGACTTAGATCGGACCTGACAAAATATCTGGTGACAACAGTAAGATTAGAGCTACTACCATCATAGTGTATGCTAATAATTTCTGGCACTTGAGGATGAAGCGATGCTGTCTTGGTGCATCCTATACTGGAAGGCTCAAATCCCAGTTTTGGGACTTTGGCACTGCTTGCCGTAGAGGTAACCCCAGGCACTAAATCTGGGTAAGAGTGTACAGAAGAAGGCGTGACTGCAGCTCCATCTTTTGCATTCGAATTTATCTAGTGCCAGTAGCTCAGGCTGCAACCACCAGACACTGGATGGGAGCTGTCAGGCTACAGAAACACCTACCGATAGATTCATCAGTGCAAAGGGGATAACATGGACTACACTGCCCTAAATCATCTTAGCTAACAGTGACACTAATTGACAGACCGAGGCCTAGGCCAAGTTGATAGAGTCCACATTGCTTTGTTCTACTCAGAACTCATCTTCTACATCCCCCTCTCTCCTGCTCCATTGCTGCTCTACCACTTTTCCAGCAAAAACAGGACCACAGAGATAGACAGACCGCTGCATGACTCAGAAATATACCCTGATGCCTGTGAAATCCAGCCAAGAACATCTAGATCTTCTCTGGAAAGGGGCCAGTAAAGCATCTTTATGAATTGTGGTTTTCACACCTCACTACAGCACACAGCAGTCCTGATCCTGTGCCAAAAATCAAAGACAGGATGCCGGGGGGCTTGAGTAGTGTTCTCTCTCCAAACTTCCCTCATTAGGTAAAATAGAAAAAAATATACATGTATATGCATCCCTATTATATTGGTTTTGCTTCTACCATAGGAAGTATTTTTTCCTAATATTAAACTTTCCTAGTTTTCCTGAAAAGTGATTCACATGGCTTAACACATCTGATGAAAAATATATGCTGATGCAATACTTTGCTCTTAATCTGTTTGGGCAACCCAATACCTCAGAAAGCATTTGGTTCATCGTCACCCAGACAATCTTGAAACATCCCAGCAAAGGAGCTGTTCTCAAGACTGTTTTGATTCATTACATTTCAAGTCAAAAGCAAATTATTCTCAGGTTATTTAAAAAACACTAGCATTGGAATTTTTTTTTTTGAAAAATAACAATTCTGGGTATGATTTCCTTCTTAATTAAGAAGGTTCAGAAAGCAACAGTATAGCCGCAGTAGCATCAACAACAAAAATATTTAGAGTCACCATTGCTAACTTTTTTTTTTAAATACCATGTACTGTAGGATTTCTCTATGTTTTGCATTACGTTACAAAAAGGTAGCTTGTTTTCTGTAAGGTCATGCTGAACTATAGCAGAATTACAGCCCTTTGTTAACGTTAATGCTTCTCCGGCAGCAATTTTCATAAGGAATTTTCTCCAGGCTTACACATTGTGTTAGCATTTGAGAGGACTTGGGGCAATTTTTTGATGTTGCAGCGAGCATCTGATGAACTTTAAGTGTGTGAACAAGGGATTAACAAACATTAACTCTGATGTGCCACCAGGTGACATGGATATTAGCAGAAACCAGCCACACCCTGCTATTTTAAAATGTGCCACTTACCAGGCGTTCATTCTGAGAGTTAACCCACCGGCAGTGAGAATTAAAGAGTAAATTGCCAGCTTGAGCAGTATAACCATCTGATCCCTGTGTTAGCCTCACAATATGCTTAACGGGATTTCCATCTCCTAGTTCTCCCCAATCCAATCGGATGCACAGTCCTGGAATAAGGCAGTTCTGGGGGGAACGCTTGCCAACTGCCAGAAGTCCACCGTTTCCGAAAATCAGCGCGCAGAAGTAACACGATGCAGCAGAGCTAGGCACTTCTTAGCCACCTCTCCTATTTCTTTTAGGAACAGGAAGATTTTAAGTGAATGCATCAAGCATCTTAAAAGCTAACAACAGCTTAGCAGGTTAAATGTGAAATAGGTTTATCAGATCACTGCAGTGCTCTTCTTGTAATTATGTTTTTACAGCCTGGTTAGAGGATGCTATTGGAGAAGGGCTTGTGATGTCAGAGTGGGTAGGGCTTAGGAGCAGGGATGAGGGCTAATCAAGATAAATTCAATTTGTATTTAAAGTAAAGTCAGCGTTAGTTAAGGCAGTTTTTGACATGTTAATCTTGATGTGTTTTAAAAGCTGCCAATCACATTACTGAGGCAGCTTGAAAGGAAGACTTCTAGTGAAGGCACACACTCTCGGAGGTTCATGGTGTCATCATTTTTCTCAAGACTAAGGCCTTCACAATAGATGTAAGTATACGTAATAAAACTAAATAGTGCTATTTTTTAAATGTAAATGGCTATGCTACATCCGCTAAGCAAGAAATGTATGATTTTTCATATTTTATAGGAAGACTTATGATAGAAACTGCAGAGACTGAAGGAGCCTTCTTCACAGTGTTTTTCTTTAAAAGCAGCACTGGAATGAAAAGAGTAAAGTTAGGAGTAGGAAAGGGAGATATAGAAAAACTAAAGTATGTGATTAACTACGTACCGGTTTCTCAGCAATTTTTATGTGTATTCTCGTGGGTAAATAATCCTGCATATTCAGGTGGAAACTCTGTATTTGTTTTAAAGCATAAATTTGATCGTTTTGGAAACTTTTAAAGATTTATTACACAAATGAAAGGTTTTATTTGGGAAGGCTTTTCATTGCAAAATCAGTATTTTGCAAGCAAATTGGATACAGATTGAGTCGCTTAATATATGCAAACCAATGTTTCATTGTCTTCTGTCACAAAATATTCTTAAAAGATAACTGTTAATGCGTAGAGCTGAATCTTTGTGCTAATTTATTTTTTTTTCAATGCTATAGATAAAAATCAATATTTTGCAGGTATTTCCTAGAGCAGCGGATTTTCTAAATCAGTGTGCAATCAGAATTAATCAAAGCTATTGATTTTGGCTGTTTTCTTCTGATATACATACGTTAGATTTGCCTAATTAAAGTTTTGCTCCTATGCCTAGTCACTGTAACAAACCCCGGTGATAACAGCTTTGTAGAACACCAGCATATGCAGTGTGATATATTCTGTAAAAATAACGTTATGCTGTAAGAGTTCCTTACATCTTGGTATTATCGGAATATGTGGGTGGAATTAACTATAGACCGAGAAAGGCTTGGGCACTATTAAATTGCCTTCTAAGCTAAAATTTCAAGCTGCTCAGTTACAGAGTACGTGAATTTCCCCTCTCCCCCAAGCTCCAAAGATAGGGAAAGAGCGAGAGAGACAGTCCTGACTCAAGTAATTTTATTGTGGCCTGATCCTACAAACTGTGGAACAGAAAACATTCAGTCTGTTGAGCATGCTGACTTTTGAGTCTGTATACGGGAGCCAATCTGCAATTTCATGTTACTCTTGTAAAGGGTAAAAGGTTGTATTAAAACTTATAATTTTCTATATGAATGTGGAAAACAATGATGGTTTTAGTATCTGATATTTGATTTGCATATATTTAAATACACCTGCAAATATATTTTAAAATCAGTTTGTGCTCTTTTGATTTATAATGAAGAAAAGTAGCCTGAAAAGATTAATAATACAAAATAATAATAATAATAATCTTGTTTTATCTTAGTGGTCTAAGACACAACAAATGCAGTTTTCTACATTTTTATCAAAGAACTTTGGGAAGTCTGAAAGATACTGGTGCGATTCTAACTCAAGGGGAAAGGTACTGAGGATTTGGTACAGGTTTTCAAGATTCAAACACTTAGTTAGACCGTGGAAATCAAAGTTGTTAAATATAAATAGTTTTAAAGAGCCTTCCTGAAACATCTTCATCTTCCCTCGGCCTGGTTTCTTTTGGGACTGGCAGTGTTGTCATTTGCACTGGTATTTCAGGTTAAAGTAAGGCAAGAATCCCACTATAATTCAATTGCATTTCATTTGAAAATACCTGCCTTGTTCTCTGACCATCAGAAAGTTCTCCATTCCAAGTCTTGTATTTCCAATATTTAGAAATAAAAAATGAGAAAAAAAAAAAAAAACACCTTTCTTAATGCTTTAAAAGTAAAAATGATCTTTAAAAAGTGAAAAATACACTTTGTTTTTAACTGATCTCACTTATGCCATGTTTTGTAATCTTTCAACTTCAAAAAGAATAAAAGACAACAAGATAATGTTTCAATGAAAAGACAGATGTCGTTGCCAATTATGAAATAAATCCGTAGGGAAAACAAATTTCATCATGCTTTTCTCTCTGCATATAACCCATGTAATGCAGAGCCCCATCCCTTATAAACAGATTGCCACGTACCAGTTTGTCAGGAGACGAGGGTCGGTGTGCCATGTTACACATAGACACACGTATGCACACACCCGCTCTGCTACCACCACTATTTTCATTAGTTCTTGCTTAGTTATTTTCCTATGTTTCTAGCAAGCATAGTTATAACATTTTGTGTGCACACTTAAGCTTCTGCTCAGCGGAAGCCTTTGGGTGCTGCCACAAATGCAACTCCAAGTCATTAGCACCGTGCTTCTGCAGGACCCAGCCTCTTGGTCCCAGCCTCTTGGTCCCAGCCTGGAGCTCAGAGAGATGCTGAGCAGAACTCCCTGCTCCGCTGCTCACCGTCCTGTATCCGTACCACTCCCATGCCACGTCAAACAGCAGAAGGGCTGCTGCTTTTCCCTCCACCATCTGCCCGTCTCACCTGCTCAGGGCTCTTGCTGTGCACGTGTGCTCAGCACACAGCCTCTCCGCCATCCGTTTCAGTCGATAAAGCTGATGGTGTCTCAGTAGCAGGCAGGAACACCACCTTATCTCTGCCCCCACACATTTCAGTGGCAACAAGACGAACTCCTATTGCCAGCTTAACTTAGTACCCAAAGGACTGAATTTACCAGCACTAGGCCTTGATCTCTTCCCCAAACCAACATGCTTTAAAAGAACTTGGACTTGCTGCTTGCAGTCTTAACAATTAGCTAGCTCCAAAATGGTGAAACATCCATGTCTCCATTTCGGTGTAGCGGCATGCAATGTGAACTCTACTGGATGACACACACAGTGTAAATATAGTTATTTTCCTTTCTTTAGGGAATGTATCGTTCTCAATCCAGTTTTAGGATTACACTCTAATCTCAGTCTCTGAGCAGTCTGTGCCCACGTATCTAGGATTAGAATTTAGCCCTACAACTTCTCCAATGGTACCTCACCCCAGTTAAGATGACATATTTCACAATCCTGTAAAACATAATGTTGGTATAATCCCTTTCTTGTTTTCCAAATGTAACTTACTTTACTGGTTGTGGGTTCTTGAATAAGTACAACTTCAGCACTAGCATCGTTTAAAGGTAAGAAGCCTTGATATGACAGCTAATAACACTAGAGTATTAATAATATTTATTTTTTCAACCAGAATCTGATTTCTCAAGTAATCACAACTTCTTTTTCTAAGAAAGGAGACAATGGGAATTAAATGATACTATGCATGAGTTGCTTCAGGTATTTCACTCATAAGCTTGGATACACGCTTATATCATATGTTTAAGGGATTTCTCTGACATCAATTTACATGAAAATTTTAAACAATACCCAGCTTCTTTCAAAGAATCCATAGATCCATTTATTGAAAAGGTATACCAAAAATTGCTTTAAAAATGCTAATTATATGCATTTGATGTATATAAAAGCAGTATTAGTCAATGAAATCTTAATGTGTTTAACTAAAATAATAAGTCTTCCAATAAATCTGTACTATACATAAGATGCTATTATGATATGGACGCAGAACTGCTACAGACATTTTGAAAGCGCACGGAGGATGATTAGATTTCCAAATGCTTCTGCTTCATGAAGTTCGTGTCTTGCCACTTCTTGTCTAATAAACTGAGACAGAATTAGTACTGGGTGAGTGGTTCTGCCTGCTGCCAAGAAGGGTTTGCTAAGGGTAAGACTCTAAAGGTAGAGATTAACTTGTCTTCATCCCTGTAATGTGCTGTACAGCCAGGATTTGTGCAATAGGATCAGAGAAGAGCCATATATGAATGCAACACTGGACAGCTGGTGTGTATGAATTTATATGAACTCGGCGGCCGGATTTTGAGCTGCTCTTAAATCCCAGCTAATATATGTATCAGAAGTATACTTTCCCTGTTCTCTTCTTAGAGATTTTTTTTTCTACTATGCTAGTTATTATGAAAATAGTATGAGCTTTAAGTACCCTAATTTTGACCTGCCAGTCAGAGCTCCAGCTAAATATCTCAAGAAGGTGTTTTTTCCAAATGGTGTAATGAATTAAGGGAGTTCAGTATCTCCTCCTGACACAAGGTTATATACTAGTCTTACTATTAGGTTGTTGAGCTAAGTATGTATCCTACCACATCAACTCAATACTTCCCTGAACAGGAAAGGCAGGGAACTTAGCAAGGAATTTAAAACGGATAACATACATACAAAACATGTCCTTTACATAAAATTTGCACTATACGGGTTCTGACATCCAGCTTAGGAAAGCAGATTAGTTTCAGTGGAAACAGCATCCTGAAAACTTTGACCAGAAATACCAGAGTTATTTTTCGTGTATCTGAGAAGAAATCCAAGATAAATTAGACAGGATTGACTGGCACAACAGAAAACAAAACAAAACAGAACGGCTTCATGGAGCAACTCCAGTGAAAACCTCATTAAGGAATCAAACCCTCCTTTTGGATCATGATGATTCAAAAACTGGGTCAGTGGAAGCAGTAAGCTACAGATGCAGTGGAAGATAAACTTTTAAGTGATATTATTCCATGACTTCTCAATATAATATCTATTCCATATCAAACCAACAGACCACCTAGTCTGCCTTTGCAAGGCTAAGTTGCTGATGTCATGAATGTTGCCTGAAGTGATGCTCTCTGAATCTTGGCATATCTTTAGTCATCCAATAGATAATAATCTATCAAAACTTACAGATCAGCTCCACTATGGATGCTGCTGTATACAGAATGGAACCCTTTTTTTCAGTGGAAATGCCAGCATCGAAAATTTAACCTCACTTTTATGAAAGAAAGATTTTGAAAAAGGTTTTAGATAGTCTCTGCTCCAGCTCTGAAAGGAGACAGACACTGTCACCAGTGTAACATGCTTCACATCCACACAAAATCCAGACCCTACAGCAAATAATGCTGTGATACTGGTGCTAATGGTTTCTAACCACAGTTACTGTCACTTGGGTGTTGGTCAAAACAGACAGGGTATATTTGATCCTACATGAAGGCAGTGGTTTTGGGTCAGAATAGACGGGTCCTTTCCCAGCAGGTTTTCCGTGATTCCACACTTTAAAAGTTGCATCACATAATTTTAGTCACAGGTGTGATTTTATAGGGGAGAAAGAAGGTGTTTCTACTACAATAGCAAAAGTGCAGGAGTTCTAGTTAGGCCTGATGAACAAAAGCATCCTGCAGTTCTGTGGTTTTCCCCCCTCGCACAGGGACAGCTTCCCCAAAAACAAGTATGTACCCCACTGTGACCAGAGCAGGGAATTGAAGCAAAATTGAATTGAAGCAATTTCCTAAAATGATAAAGTGGTACAGCATTTCAGTCATCTGACAGGAGAAACTTTATCAGTGTTAACATTAACTTTGATTTTTGTTCTTTCCTGATTTACTAAACTAAAATGATATTTTTTTTTATTTTTTTTTATTTTTTTTTTTTCCATGGCCCTTTGCTAGTTGCTTTGTCCCTTCATGTTCTCCAGTCAGGTGCACCAGGATATACAGAAGTTAGGATGAAGTTTACAATTTCAGCTTCATTTTCTAGTGCATTTAGTACAGCCCACTCAGCCATGAACAGAAACCACCCAGATGGTCACTGGACCAATATGGTACAGCAAATATCTTCGCAGTTGCCGACTATTTTTTGAGCTGCTGCACAGTTTAGTTCTGCACTAAAACGCTTTAGTACTGAGCTTTAGCATGCTTTAGCAGCTCAGAAGCACTTTGGCAGCTCAAATGCTCTTCATGAGGCACCCAGCATCCTAAACCGCTTTAAGTCTAAAGTATCCTTAAAAAAAAAAAAAAAAGTCCACAATCTTTGCCAACACAGAATTGAGCATTTACAGCATTCAGAAACGTAGAGAACACCACCAGACCAGGCTGCTCCAAACCCCATCCAGCCTGGCCTTAAACACTTAATCACAGGGATGGGACAACTTGTATAAAACCTACTGTTCCTTATACTGTTGAATGTCTTACTCCTTTCTTTGGGCCTGCTGATTCTGTTCTCACTGGAAAACCATTGCTGTCTCCTTACAGCATGACTCCTCGGGATCACATGAGAAAGATGTCTATGCTGGGGGAGCAAGGAGCTCTCGAGGAGAAGCACTTGTACCGGCTAGCAAGTGGCATGGCAGCAGGAGGTAAGCAGGAAGAAAACTTAGGGCACATTTGTTTATAGGATTGCTAATCTCAAGAAACAGCCAGCAACAGGTTGAATGCCTTTTAAAAAGGTATCTCAAATTTCTCTTAGGAATAATTGGAAAAGCATTTCGCTATCAAGGTAATTAAAAGTTAACATGGGGAATTGCTGGCATTCAGAAGCTGACCCAGAGGTGCTAAGCATCTGAAAGAGGAGTCAAGGCCACAGAGCAGCTCAGCAACAGACGCTGTAGCTGGACACTGAGGTTCTGGCTCTCACTGCAGGCTCTTCTTGCTAGAGCTGCTCTCTCACAACAAGGCTGATCCCAGCTAGTAAGATTTTTTAAAAAGAAAAATCATATTAGAAATGAAAACTCTCTCAAACAGAGAACTTCACGTTCATGGCTATGCCCTTCTAGTTTAATAGTGATATACAAGTTATTGCTGATTGTAAATTGTCCCTTTATACACTTGACTGTGCACATCCTGCTTATTTTTACTGCATTTTGATTGTATAAAACCGCATTACTTAAACAAAGCAGTTAAGGTGGCAGCAGAAACTGTGTATGCTTTGTGTCAGAACTGCGGCAGCGCCAGGAGATGCTCATGAGGAATCAGCTGATGGCAGTAAACCCCCCGCTAATGGGCACCGGCCAGCAGAGAATGCAGACGATTTCCTCCCAGTTCGAGCCTCGACTGGTAGACAGGTATTTTGCATCATTTCTCTAGCATAATACTGCAATTAAAGAATAAATGTTCATGTGCTGTCCTTCAGTACATAAAATCCTTATATTAGTATTAACCAGTGTCCTTTCCATGTCTAAACATCTTTTTTTTCCTCGCAGAGATTTGTTACCTTCCACCGAAATGATGGCATCAGCTGACCCAAGACAAATTCATATAGCATCCCACCTCGGGCCCACAGTCCCACAGCACACAAACATGCCAAACATATTGTCCAACCGTGTTTATCCAGGCCCAGGTAATGAAGCATTATCTGTAAGCTGAAAAGCGATAGCATGCAACTGAGAAAACAAATGGCACCTATTAGTTTTTTTTCCCCCCATTGGTTTATCAGCAGTATCTGCAAAACTAATTTATTTTCTTTGGTAAGATTGTCTCCTTTTAATGAGACTATCTCTTACTAGGGGTTCTAAACTGTGCCAGTTTAGGTCTTAAACACCAATTTTAACTTCTGTTAAATACACTGATTTCCAAACATTTTGCATCTTTGTGTTCCCTCTTTCCTTTTTTGTTTCCCAGGTATCGCACACCTAAACAGAAGGCTGCAGCTAAACAAATGAGTCCAATCAACATTTTCTGCTACATTTAACTCATGCTCATGTATCAGTATTAGCTGTTTTAAAAGACTACTTTATTGACCATATTCTCTAATCACAGTATCAGATGTCATTTTATCTCTCAACAGATTACACTTTCTAAATTGCCTTGTTGGTTGTCCTAAATGAAGACTCAGAATTACAGGGCACAGCTCTAAGGGAAGGCTGGATACCACAGCATGGCAGCAGAACTGTGGTACACACATCACGCTGCAAATATATTTACAGGAGTTTATTTATAATCAATTTAGACACCACTTTATACTGAAAGGTCCTATCTTATGGTTCCTTCTTTGACCAGGGGACGCAGACTCTGCATAGATCCATAAAAAGAATTTCTGGCTTCAGATTTTTTCCTCTAAATGCAGATCTCAAATAAGAGATTACCTCAAGAAGAAATGCCTTTTAAAATAACATGACACCTAGGCTGAAAATAGTCTTTAAGGAGCAGGTTTGCTTTGCTTAACTGGTGGCTATTATTTTCTGAGCAGCTGTAACTACTTCAGAGACCTAAGCCACCAAATAACACAACCCTGCAACCTCCTTCCTTTATGGGTAATGGCGGGTGCACCTAACAACACATCTGATCCTAGATTTCATGCTTCTTCTACATATTCCCACTGAAGTAATGAACACAAGTAGTATTTAACTTGAAGTCACAGCAGCTTCCTGAAGAAGCACACGGTTCAAGCCTTAAAAAGCCTTTTGAAGTGCCTTTGCCTTGCTCTGGGGTTTGTGCATTTGCTTGAGGAAACAATTTGTTTTATTTTTTTTTCACTTTAAGGATACAGCTTTCTCCAGCCGGAATCCATGGAAGCTGTGGCCAGAAGGCAGGAACTGGTTCAAAAGCAAAATATTGCCAGGTAATTGAGAGTAAGCTTTGCTCTGAGGTGTGGGCCAGGATTAGGGCAGCAAAGGCAGATGGAAGCGATGAAGTCACAGACTTTGCTGATTTTTTTATTAGGAATCGTTGAGATAACTGATCAAACCACCCAGAGAAGCAGAGTGCCCTCCCATCTCTGAGGGTCCGAGACTGTTGAACTTTCTGCTTGTCCCTATTTTGCTTTTAGCCTTAAAATGAGATAGGGAACAGAAACAACCCTCTCAGCTTGGTTAAAGAAACAAACATGCTACAAATTGCAGACCCAGCCCTTGAGCTCTGGACCCAAACAGCCTGAAGTTACAAAAAGTCAAAAACAAATTCAAACTTTACAGCTGTGTGCTATCACATGCACTACTTTGAGCCTCTACAGCTGGGCCCTGGGGATGATTAGCCACGTCTCCACCCCACCAAGGGTGGACAGCTTTCCCAGTTTACCCAAACAATGTGAGTGTCAGGGTTACTACAGAGAGCCTGGTTGTTTGTACCAGTTTCAGTGTAATCAGTAGCTGGTGAAGTAGTTGCTAATGCCCTCCCTCACAGCCACACCATTTCCATAGGGAAACTCTGACCCCAACTATAGCTGCACTGGGATTCGGCACAGCACTGAGCTGCAGCATCACTTGCATAGCGAGGTTAAGAGCAAAGAACTGACAAATTTTGATTAGGCATCTCAGGAGAACTATGACAGAAGTGTTTTAAGCTCTTCAGTAAGCCAGTCTTGATTGCTGAACTCCTCCAAGCACAAGACTTGCATCAACAACGTGCTTCACATAACTGCTGCCACACAGTAAAAAAAAAAAAACAAGGAAAATAGCTAGGCACAAATAGTGCCAGCCTATATCCCCCCAGCCATATCAGCACCAGCCCTTCCTGTTCAGGTTCTTCCCTCAGCCCACCAAACCCAAGAAACCCCCAAAGTGAACAAGCTCACCCTAAATCCCCAAGACAAACTCTTACCCAACTCTCGAGCCAGTCCTAGCACCTTCCCCCTGCTTTCTGCCCCCAGCTCTCCCACTTCCTCTGGCTTTGATAACCAGGTGTTATCAAACAACCTGCTGCACCCCTGCAGCTGTGCTGGGCCCAAATGGGCCCAAATTTTTGTTCTTGAAGGTACTCTGCCCCTGACCAAGGTCTTGTGATCCCCCCGGTACTCTAGGCCCCAGAGGAGCAGGCCGCCCTGTCAAATCTAACACAAAAAAAAAAATAAAAGAGATTATTAAAGATCAGAGCTGCTCTGACTGCTTGTGCTCTGTGTGTCTCTTAGGATGGAAATGGAGATGAGTGCTCTTTTTCAGCAAAAAGAAATGGAGAAAGCTCATCGGAAAGGGCTGCTGGGCCTGGAAGCACCTTTCCTTTACCACGGGATGCCAGCCAGCCCCATTGCTTTCCGCGGCAGGCACAGACTACCTGAAGGCCACCTTCCCGGTGACTTATACGTTCATCGTACCACCCTCGATGAAATTCACGGCAACACTATGCTCATGGCAGCCAGCCCGTACCCTCCAGTCGGCGCTTTGCAGAGGGAGAGGGGCCGCCGGCCAGGAAGAAGAGCTGGAAATCCCAAAAGCACAGACTGTGGTGCCAATGGCACCAAGAACCAAGCTGAAGACAAAACTGCAGACCTTGCTTCCACCGCAGTGGATGACGAGAAAGAGGACAAGAAAGAAGCCGAGGTGGAGACACCAAACAAACACGAACAAAGCAAAAATCAGACCGAGCCATCTGCAGTTGCCAAAAACTGCAAAGAGTTTGAACAAGACCTGAGGAAAAACTGTGCTGCTCACGAAATTTCTGCTGAAAGCAACAGCTGCAGCAACACGAATGAGAAGGAATCTAATAGCTCTTGTGCTGCGTTTGATGACAAGTACATGTACCCTTCTGCAATCCCCTTCTCAGCACTACCATATGGATTTCCAGTACCCAGCAACCCATTGCTAACTCCAGGTTTGTCAAATCTCCAGCCCGCAGTTAAATGGCATATTGATATTCAGTATCGTTAATGACTTGCTCTCTTGTTCCTTCCCTTTGATCTAAGCTAAATTTTGGTACAACAGAGTCATGGCAACTAAATGTAGAATTCATACGCAGTGCTGTTAAAATCTGGGGCTCTGGCTAAGTGTACAAATTCTCATGTTAACAGTCTTTTCCAACCGATTTGCCAGCAGAGTCCTAAAAACATTACGCTTGTCCTTCTTCCTTACAGGAGCACATGGCCTGATCCTGAATGGAGAAGACATTTCTACCATCGAAGACATTCGCAAGTGGACTGTGGATGATGTATACAACTTCATCGGCAGCCTCCCAGGCTGTTCAGATTATGCCCAGGTGATTACAAACATACCTCACGTTCACAGTCACATTTTAAGGCCTTTAGGATCATCTAGATTTAAAGGCCATCAAACGAGTATGTTAGAGGTTAGCTAGTTGTCCCAAAGTTATAAATGTAGTAGTAGCCCATGCTCTGAGAGGTCGCATGCACTTCTGCTCGCATGCTGCAATCTGCAGTCATTGCTCATGACACGTACTAAGAGGATCAGCAGCAAAACAACAGTATAAAAAAAAGTATCTTGATTTTTTTTCTTTCTACATATCCTGCACAATTTTTAAAGCACTTCTACGTTCTTGGATATTGGTTTAACCCACCTACCCCCCTGAGCTTTTATGAGTGTCATTGCATTTAAAAAAGTGAAATATCATGAGAAATGCAAGAGGTTGAAATCGCATACACTGCTGGGAAAGATCTAATAAGATGAACACTCCTCTTTCATTGACAGCAGGCTAAAATGAAACAAGCAACAAAACAACCCAAATGAAACAAACAAAAACCTCACTAATTAACATGGAAAGATGACAAAGTTTCCAAGAAAAGAAAGTAGATCAGTTACAGGCAAATGTGCAGCTATTTGTACATCTGAGCAAACAGCCTCACACTGCAGTTAGAGAGAACTAGGAAGATAAAACACTAAAATTATTTCCTCCTTTTGTTGTCTATGCCTCAGGATTAAGCAAAAAAAATAACCAGTGAAGTCTGCTTTATCACCCCATGATGTTATTTTTTTGTTTCATGTAAGATATTCAAAGACCACGCTATTGATGGAGAAACCCTCCCGCTGCTAACAGAGGAACATCTCCTGGATACGATGGGTTTAAAACTCGGACCAGCATTAAAAATCCGCTCTCAGGTATGATCACCAAATGTACCAAAACCAGCAAGCCATGAAGACGTGAAAGAGTCAGAAGATATCAGGATATTTTTTTTCTAAACAAAAACATTTTATTTTTTTTCTCATTGATAAGGTAATTACCATTAATATTGGGGTAAAAAAAAAAAAAAAAGGCTTCCAGCATAGTTTGCTTTCACTTCTCTGCCGACAGCACGCAGGGAGACACTGGAGGTGGAGGGGTTGTGAGGAGCGATAGTTTGAGAGATGCCCAAACTAGAGTGAGGACACAACTGAACTGGAGGCTAAGCTGAGGCTGGCAATGGAAAAGATGGATTTGATGATTTTGATGGATTTATTCCATTGCACTCTTTTCCTTTCCCAGCTGGTAAGAAGTGTTTTGATACATACTTGCTTTTGCTCCAGCCTGGCCTTTAAAGATGCCAAGTGAATATTTCTACAGCCTTTCTGGGAATATAACCTTACATGTTTCATAGGCAGGCTGTCCCTTTATGTTTAAAATTTTCTGCTCTTCATTTCATCCAGTAATATAAACTCTCTGCATGTTTCTGTTGTCTGCCTGTCTGTTTTCTTTAATCTCAAGCTCTCTGTCACTCTTCTTTTTAAAACCACCTTCCCAGCTCCTGGCTGGCAGTTTGCCTCCCCTCTGTCTCCTGGGTGCCACAGTACCTAGAGAGCAAGAGCTGTCAGCGCCAGCACGCTGAGCCATTTCCCAGGCAGGCTGTGCTGAGCATTGCCAAGCTCCTTCCACAAGAAAAATGGAAAAAGGCTGAGCCTAGAAAAATATGAGAGAGAAAATAGAGATTTTTTTTCACTTTTGCTAACCACTGATAAGATGGTTGGGATCTACATGGCTTCCAGGCTTTGTCCCTGGCATTGCTACGTGACAGCCAGCCTCAACATTTAGTGATGTTAACTCTACCTCAAGAAGCAGCTCCTGCAACTGTGTTTCTGTCTTTAAAGGTGTCTCGACGTCTGGGCAACGTGCTCTACATGATGAATCTTCCTTTGTCCGTGCCTCTGCCATCTGCTCCAGGCAAACCATCAGACCAGCCCTCCGACATCGCCTCCCCTCTTCACTGCAACAGCAGTGGCGATGCACTGGATAGTCCCTGCTCACAAGGTCCAGAAGCTTCAAAAACAGTGGAGCAGATCGTTTCAGAAAGCAGGGAAAATCCGTGTGACACAGCTGGGTCTCAGGCTGACTTCCAGATGATCACTTTTCAAAAAAGTTGAGCTGGGTCCAGGGCATAAAACGTTATTGCTGATACAGGAACCTCTAGTTACGAAGTGTTTGCGAGGATAGCTGCAGCCTGAAACCCCTGCATGATTGGGACTGAACGAAGTAAGCTGCAAATGATGCATGAGGCAGTGTGGCATCTCAAAAGCATTTTAAAAATGCGACTACATATTAGTGCAATTACTTTCAAGTGCAATTCATTTAAAAGGATATCAGTACAGCTCACAGATACGTTTAAATTTTCATTAAAGTCTGGTGTCATCACTGACATTTGTCAGAGGCTCGGAGCACTCCGTACAGTTTTGCAGGCTGCTGAGGAACTACAACAAAAAGCTACGGCTGCACAGCTGGCTTCTGCTTCTGTTGAAGCAAAATTTACACAGAAAATGTATACAGCAGCATTTATATCTCCCAATAGATTTCATTGGGAGACTAAGGAATTGCCTGCTACAGAGAGAGAAATATACCCTGGACTCAGCAATTTGAGTTAATTCCATTCCCATTCTAGATCGAAGCCTTTCAAAGTGCCTGGGAAGGAGGTAAGGGTATAGGCAGGGTACACAGATTAAATCCAGGACATCAAAATATTGTGTGTAGCTGCTGTTTTAATTATTCTGAGGCATTATTAATGTCAGGGCTGGAAACTGCTTTGAGTGACTGCATGGATGAGCTGAGTTTAGAGTGAAGCATAGGCAGATGCTGCCGTGAAGACCCGTCACAGAGACAGCAACATCCCTGGAGGAGGCAGGCTGAAAGACTCCTGGTTCCTGCCAGCCTCGCTCCCTGCAGCAGCACCCTTCACCTCTGCTCCCCTGGGCAGGCCACGGACAGCCCTTCACTCAGCGGTGTTCTTCATATTGGAAGAGGTCACCAACTGTAGCCTGAAAGCTGTCTTTTCTCTGCAAAACTGTGTTTTCCCCTCACTTCTGCTACCTATGGCTACTTACCAATTATGCTGCCCAAACTTTGCAGCCTTGAGAGGAAGGGCAAGTATCTATGGCATTCTGTTTCTGAAACAGCAGTCTCGTAAAAGGAGTTAAGCCTGATTCTGCTTTTGCTGAACACTCTGCCACTGACTCCAGCTATGGCAGTTTGGGGCTCTGTGTGTTAATCTCCAAATACTGTACGCAGGGTTTACATTTTTAGGGTTAACTGATAAATTCCAGTAAGGCCTGATGGACAACGGTGAAATGCTACGCAGCAAAATACTCCAAAGTTGCTGGCAGTAATCTTCTGTGATCTTGTGAAATTATTGGGACTCTTTCCATTAACACGAGAGTTTGATTATGTCTTACACATCACGTGAGGGCATCTTTCACATAAGGAACTGTTTACTGAATACTCAATGGCGTTTAGAAAAAGCAAAATTATGAGCTGAAATTGGAAAGCCTGCGTATAATTCCATAAGACTGCCTAAGAAGAGCACAACAGCATGATTAATCTTGGAATGGCTTTGCTTGGAATTAGTTTGCTGTTTGCTTTGTCTCAATGAGTTTCACAAAGTGTCAAGCTCCGTTCTCTTTATTAACTTTTCTATATTTTTTCAAGGCTTTAAAACTTAATAAGGCAGCTTGGAGAGTTTTTTGTTGAACTTAATAATGAAAAATGTTTACTTTTCCAGATTCTGGATAAAACACGATTTTCAATGTACAAAAGTCCTGTTTGTAATGCTTTTACTTGTTATTTTAACATGTAACTTCTTAGATTACTTGCATCAGAAGAAAAGTTTTACTTTTATAGTAATTTAATTGTTATCATTTCCCCCTTTTTTTGAAGTAGATTCTTCATGAAACGTTGGTGAAAAAGCAAGTATTTTTATATAGTAAAAGTTTCAGGGACACCAATTTTGTTTAGCATCTGAAACAATTTCTAACTTTATTGTTGTTGTTGGTTGTTTGTAAAGTTGACTATCATAGTGGCAATGCCGCTTATCTAATTAAACACAATTAACGTACTGGTTTTCCAATGGCACCTTGCCTCCTCACCGTCTTAATCTTTATGAGACCTTCACCCTGATGCATTTTAAGGTCAATTGGGCCACAAGATGTCGCTGCAAAGCTGCGAGAGGTGAGCCAAATCCACCCCAAAGTGACACGCAGCACGCTGGGGGTACAGGTGGCCTGTAAAGAGCAAGGATGTGAAGAAACTGAACTTGGTTTTCTAAAGTAGCAGCAGAGGAGCTTGACTTGAAATCCCATATGCCAGGGAAGAAAGCCTGAAATCTGGTTCTGAAGAGTGTGACTATTTTTGTAAATGGCTCAGATGTGAACGGTTCCAAAAGCAGAGAAAGCCGGGATCCAAACTTTGCAGTCTGATACCACTTTTCCAATAAAAAAAAAAAAAAAAAAAAAAAAAAAAAAAAAAAAAAAAAAAAAAAAAAAAAAAAAGGTATGAAAGCATGTGATGTGATCCTGTGCACATACTGGGCTCTTCTTCCCAAAACTACAAAAGGAATGACTTCATGGCTTCCTGTACTGGGAGGAGACGCATCAGAGCAGCTAAACTGCAACAAGGCCTAGACTGCATACTGTGCTAGGGGGAAATAGGAAGGAAAGGGATTTACCTAAATGGACATAATCTTTTCTATTTCTAACGAAGGAAATACCACTAGTAATGAAAGTTTCCTCCCTGACAAACACTTCAGAAAGAAAGAAAAGCAAAACAAAACAAAAATAAGGTTAAAATTCAATATATAGAGAGAGAATCAGTAGACAGTCATACTTTCATTTTTGTTTTGTTTTCAGGTGTTATGTTTACACTGAAACACTCGAGGCCTTGCTGATTCTCAGCATCTGCATGTGGTTTTTTGTTTCTCAGTGCTTATTCCGGCTGCACAGGGGTGTAGCTAACAATCACAAGTGGCAGAGCTGGCAGGACTGTGGTACTTGTTGATTTGCTGGTGGCTATACCTCTGTGCTCATTTTTTCTGCTACACTATTTAAATCCCATTGGAATGCAGATGATGTATTTTAATACATACGGCACCATCAGAGGTGTTTCACTTAACATCAGCTGTGTGTTAGGCTGTAACACCGATGCATTAACAGCTCTGCTGGGTGGAGTTGCAGTCATCCAACCATATCCAAATGTAATTTTGATAAAAGTTACATGAAAGCAGACACAAATCAAACCCAGTGGTTCAATAAAATGAAGGATATGTCACCTGAATGTGTGGCATCATATATCCAAATTCCTCGCCACCTTCCTATACTGATTTTGCATTTAACATGTTAACTAACAGTGACAGAACAGCAATTAACAGAATCCTATAATGGAGGAGCTTTCAGACCAGATAAACAACAATCTAAACTCAGCATTTAAGGTATACCTAAGACTGAAACCCCTTAAGAAAGTGCTTTTTTTTGTTGTTGTTGTTGTTGTTTTATTTCCTATCTGGGAAAAATAAACAAAACCCAAAAACACCAACAACCAAGATTGCAGGTGGAGATGGCTAAACATTGAGTGAATTCCTTGTTTTACTTTGCTTGCACATGCAGCTTTGGCCTGTTGAGCTGTCTTTATCCCAACCCATGAGTTATCTCACTTTCACTTTTTTGATTCTCTCCCCACCTTCCACTGGGGGGGAGTGAGCACATGGCTGCGTGGTGCTGAGCTGCCTGCCAGGGCTAAACCACAGCAGAGGCTTCTGCGTTTAAAGACTTCCTTAATATACATCAGTGCAATACAGCCAGTCAGGCTCAAAGTTGCTACTAACATTCAAATCAATTTGTTCCTATGTATGTGCTACACGAGCAACCATGCTATGTTCTTGGCTCTCCGATGGGTTTCTGAAACACAGTCTTCTCAGAGAATGCAAGAAACGGTGATAAGAAGCCATAGTTTTATGGGGAGAAGTGTACACTTTCCTTTTTCCCATTATTCCTGCCTGCTGTTCTATACGTACTTAAAAGCTAGGATGTCCGAGCGTTGAGTGACCCCCACCCAGCCTTCATTCGCATTCAACTTGTACTCGTTCCTTTGCAGACTTCTCTTTAAAAAACAAACAAACAAAAACCAGTCATCAAAGTTCACATCAGTGCAAGAGCCTGACACAGTAAACTGTATCAAAATATAATTTCCTTATTAAAACATAAGTCTGAGCATACGTGGACAGCCATCCGTATTTTTAAGAGTGCTGTCCTTAGCAGCACCAGGAAAATGAAAGTACGGAACTGAGCTTTGTAATACAACCCAAATACATGAGCCAAATAAGAAAGGTTTTTGACTGACATGGATGTGCAATGCATTTTACAAACCGTGTGCACAGTAGTCAAAGCCCCATGCAGCTTTCAGATCAGATAGATGTAATCCAAAACTATTGTAAGAACCTTTCCCAAGGCCTCCTTTGTACATGAGCTGTTCATTCTTCTTCTAATACAATCCACAAAACTCTGCATTTATTTGCTGAATCAGTCTCTTCTGTGCTTTAAAACTCCCCCTACTATTTTCCATAAACAAATTGCATGTGCTCTGACTTCCACCAGGGCAGGTACATGCTGCAGCCCTTTACAAAACACCTGGTCAAAGGAAGAAGCGTGATGCTCTATGAGTCAGCCTATTTGACCCCATGTTTTCATCTCAGCCCTTCATTATTCACTGGAAAATAACAAGTCTGTTCAATGAGGCTGGGTATTCATCAGGGTTCTCCTACCTGTGATGCTTGGCTTTGACTAAGCCTTCATGCTATAGTAATTCTAAAATAATAGGAATACATTTTATGGCAAGCAAAAAACCCGCCTCTCCTATTTCATTTGTTGTAGGCCACACAAAAAAATATTTTTTATTCCGTTGACTTGGCCTTTATACATTACTTTCCCCTGCTCTCCTGCCAAGTTTACCTAAGTCTGTATTCTTCCAAGCAGACATTAGTTCTGCTGCTATCCATGTGTTCTTCTTGGACAACAACTTCCCTGTTGTTAAGAATACAAAGTCTTTTACCGAGATTATAGAAAAAAGGAACCTATTGCCTATGTTACACAGAGAATGATATTTTTCCTATAGTACAATGAAGACACAAATAGGTGTTTTGCTTTTACAACATTTTAAAACACGCGTATCTGGCATCTGCATGTGTGAACTACTGAAATAAAAATCAATCAACCAAAATAGCAAACAGAAAAAGCACTCCTAACCAAAGGGGAAAAAAGAAAGCATCACAAGTCAATCTGGTTTCATCTTTGCTGATTACCTTTCAGTTACAAGGTTCAAACAGCTCTGCGAGATAAGTGCTGCTCAGCCTGTGATTCATGGGCTTCCAGCAGTCTGTAAACAGTCTGCATTGACGGGCTGTAAAGCACTCATCAGCTTCTGGTTGAATCCGTTAATTTGAGAAATGTAAACCCGAGAATCACATTGTTATATAAGAAGGATTTTAAACTCAAACACTTGTAATCATATCAACAAAAGTATGGTTTTATAAAACAATAACATTTAGTTTTTCCTAATGCTAGATCTTTAATTAGTGCCATTCTCCTCCCCCTCCTGCTACTGCCAAAAAATATAGAGGTACAAGCAAGCCTCTTTTTTTTTCTTTCCAAAAGCCTGATCTTATTCTTCCAAAAAATTGGTTGATGTATTTTCCATTTAACTTTTTTTTGTATATCCAGGTACATCCCCGCTGACTCCGGTATGGTCTGCTGGACCAGCAGTATTGACATCAGGAGGGTTGTATCCTTACTAGGTTCACCAGGCAGTAAAATAAAAAAATATTCTTGCAATGAACAAAGCTGGTATCTGAAATTGATGAAACCGATTACATAAGGCCTAGAATCAGAGGAAATTCATGCTTAGTTCAACTATGGTTTTTTGTAAGTTATAAATATCAAATAATTCTGAGTTATGCAGAAATGAAAAGGAACTTGCAAGAATGGAGTTATTGCAGAAGCTTCTTAGTAAAACATAATTCTGGAGATTTTTCTAATGAATCTTTGTTGCTCTGCTAAATTAAAAGCTGAGTGGCGAACTAAATATTTATAAGCTTCTGAGATGGAAGTGACTCAGGATATGTCTACACTGGAGTGTGCTTCTGAGTAATGACTCGTGTTTGTGGGTGGATGTTAGCTAAACCTGCCATGAAAGTATGTGTTGCTGTACGGTATGAGGCCCATCTTCTTTGTATTTTGAACACATATTCAATGCTGAAGCTGACTGGATAAAATGGGAAGTCACTCCAGAGCCTGCAGCATGCTATCGTGTATAGATGCTCTAGGAAATGGCTCCTAATGCATCGTTTGGGAATTTGTCTATCCTCAGCTCCCTCCATGGATGTTCTTCCCTCCTTCCTGCCTTCCCTCCCACCCATCCTCCTTCCCCTCAGCATAACAGTTGAGGTAAGTCTGATTCGTGTTTTCCCATCTCTTCCCCCAAAGCCAGAAGGATTAACCATGGGTCCAGAGCTTTATAAAAGTGAATGGCTAGTTCAGCAGAACAGATGCTTGGTTGAACTTCTGGTGTTACCTCAATTTCTGTGTTGCAGAAGGCAGCGTGACGCCAAAGATAATTCGTGACATGCTTGGCAGTAATCCAGTTGCCGATGTGGACTTGCACTTCTGGTGCATATCAACTATGCCACAGTGGTAAGACCACATCATCTTACCAGCATGACCAACACTGGCCCAATAGCACACATGCCAGTAAATTGCCAGGAACAACTGAATGTAAGGGTAGAAGAGAATATATACCAGAGAGAGTAAAACACTGCCTGCCTCAGTGTCCTGCCTCAGAGGCCAACAAAGGATACCTAAAAGCAGAGTGTAAAAACAAAGCAAACATCTCAGAGCACTTCTTTTATCTACAAGGATCTATTACACACCAGCCAGAGGTGATTTTTTTTGTTGTTTCATGAATGTATCTTTTTTTTTTTTTTAAGCTAAGTTTTCAGCATCCCTGCTGCCATATTAGATAACGTAGTTGATTACACACAAGCTAATGAAATGCTGTGGGTTTTGCTTCAGTTGACAAAGGAAACCACTCCGCTTGCATGCAATATCCTTCACAACAGTAATTTAAGTTTTCATGATTCAGGAAACCTGACTCTAACAAAAATGGCAGTTGTCACTTAAGAGGCTGTAAATTCACCACATAATTCTGAAATGCTCCTTTTCCAACATGCCCCACAGTTAACACAGACACTTACCTTAAAGGCAAGCAGTTTGAACCTCCACTTCCATCGCCTGATTTTCTTGAGATTCTGCCAGTTGCGTCTCTCCTGTTCTCCAGCCATACTTGTGAGTACAAACGAGCTTGTCCCATGCAAGATTCAGCCTTGATAGGTTCCTTATTCCACAGTGATAGTAAGTTCTCTACCCAATGCCTCACACTAGAGGATACAATCCCTGGCCCACTTTCTGTCCTTCAGTCCTTTTCACAGATCTGCTTGAGGTGGTCAGTTTACTGACAGCAAACCATGACAGCAACAGGCCATTCTTCATTGTTTTATTTGTCAAATTATACTCTTCGTGCTTGTGTCCTGATCATTAATTCTTGGTTGCTTCAGTTGCCAAACCATCGTTTCGGCACCAATGGAGGATTGTTATTATTAGCAAGCCATACGTTGCAGATGGCTAAAGGTTCTTCTGCAAGAAATCCTCAATTTCAGATGTGCTTTTATGTTACTGTAAGGTAAGCACATTAAATAACTGTTAAAATGATTGCTGTTTTAAAAACACATTTTTGAATAAATATATTTTACCTAAATTTTACGAGAGATTGCTTTATTGTAACCATAAAAACTTTAATTCCCTGTATTTACGATTTCCTCTCCTGAATGATACTTTCTCTAGTTCTCTCTGCAGT